GGTCAGGCCAGATGATCTAATGGTCCCTTCTGGCCTTGAAATCTATACATCTCTGTGTAATTAATAGTAGTAATATGAGGTAGAAATGAGGTTGTGAGGGGCCTAATGGGGGTTGCCCCATTGAAGACAAGTTGAGGGAGTCCAGGCTGCATTGGCATAGACATGTCCAACGGGCACCCCAGAGGTATATTGGTAGGACGTCCCTTGCAATGATTGTGAATAGAAGATGACCCAGAGGGGAGCCAAAGACTTGGGACATCAGATACATTCAAGGAGGATAGGTCCATCAAAATGGCTATTAGCCAAGATGGTCAGGGATGCAACCCCTCACTCTGGCAGTCAGAAGCTGGAACTGGATGACAGGGGATGGATCACTCTGTAATTGCCCTGTTCTGTTTATTCCATCTGAAACATCTGGCACCAGCCATCGTCAGAAGACAGGATACTAGGCTAGATGGACCATTGGTCTGACCCTTTATGACCATTATGTTCTTATGACACGGACCAGATATAAGCAGAAATTAGAGAGACCAGTCTGCACAACAGCCAGATGTCTGATCATGGGGTTTGGAAGAAGACGGCTGTAAAGGTCACCGACCCCGAATAGGGAAGTAGCAAGAAGGAAGAAGAGGAAGGGTAGTAGCATCTAGGAGCCCTTGTCATGGAGCAGGCCCCCATTGCACTAGGCACTGTACAAACACAGATGAAATCGCATGCGCGCCCACACTGCCATGCTGCTGTGAATGTGCACTGTGTTCATAGAATAAGCATGTGTGGTGATATCTGTGTGTACAGGCATTGACACACATTAAATACGTGCATACATGCTTTGAGTGTCTATAAGTATGAGAACACACACACAGCGCAGGTCTCATCCCTCCCAGCGGGGGCAGCAGAGACAGCCACACTGTTGGTGGGGTGGAATAGCAAGTGGCCGAGGTGTGGATTGAGGCTGAGCAGTGGGGCTGCGGGTTGGGATGAGGGGTACCAGGGAGCCATATGGGGGAATAGACCCAACTGTGACAGACCCTCCCGGTCCCTCTCCCCCTAGGTGGGCCTGCGCCAGCTGGACATGTCCCTGCTGTGCCAGCTGTGGTCGCTATACGAGTCGATCCAGGAGTACAAGGGGCTGTTCCAGGACATGTCATCGTCCCTGCACTCTGAGGGCTCCTACACCGCTGAGAATGGCTTCTCTGATGAGGACGATGAGTTTGAGGTGGAGCCGCCGGGTGCTGACGTGCGCAAGGAGACCCCACTGCTGGGCCGGCTCAGCTTGCCTCAGCCCCAGAACTCCCGTGACCAGTGGCTGCAGGACTCCTTCCACATCACCATCTGAACCCTGCAGCCACCACAGCCTCACCCCGTTTGGAGTAGTAGCATGTGTAGCTGGGAGCTCCCTACAGCGCCCCCTGTTGGGAGAGGCCAGGGCTGGAGTAGCCTGGCTCTCCCCCTGCAGCCAGGGCTCCTGCCCCGCTCCCTATAGTGCCCCATGCTGGGAGAGGCCAGGGCTACAGTATCTGGGAACTCTCTCTACAGCCAGCACATCTGCCCCACTCCCTGTAGTGCCCCATGTGGGGAGAGGCTGGGGCAGTGCATTTTCTGGCATTGCTGCGGGTAGGATCATGTTAGCAGTTTTTAGTGCCTCAGCCATCAGCCAAAAATGGCCACTTTTAAGATATTTAAAAAAATAAAATTTAAAAAAATTTGACACATAGGGGGAAAACCTCCTGAAGTGGGAGAGGTGAAATGTAATATATACAGCATGTCGGGGCTCGAACCCCATCAGAGCTGTGAAATAAATCCTCAGAAATTGACTTGGCCGTGTATTATTCCAATACCTAGGAGTGGGGGTCAGGACTTGGGAAAATAACTGCAGTGTTTGTGTCGGACCCACTGGAGTTCTAATTTTGTCCCCCCACTCTCACTGGCCCCACAGGGTAACTGACATGACCAAGAGTTACCTGCTCCCTGTTTCAATTGCCAACTGGGCCCATTGGAGACTGCAGGAGGGGAGGGGGATGGAGGACAGATCCCAGCAGCTGGGGAGGAGGGTGGCGGGGGGAGCACAGGGCAAGGGGGGGTCATGGAGGGGTCCTGGCAGTGGGGGAGGAAGGCGGCATAGGGCAAGCAGCCCAAGGAGAGGGGTCCCAGCAGTGTGGGGGGAACATGGGGAGAAAGACTCCAAACCATGGTTTAATCTTTCCTTGTCACAGTGTGATTTTGGGGCTGATCTTGTGGTGTTTGAATGTTCAGGGTTGGTGACACCGTGTTTTCCCCAAAAAAAACTAGCGGTTGCTCCTGCCCCACCTGCTTGGGAACAGAAGGGGCAGGGGTGTTGAACCTAGGGGGCTCTGTGCACTGCTTCATTTGTAATGAAAGAGATGCCAGGGCTCAAGCAATCTTTTTACTTTCATAACTGACATGGCCAACCCAGAGGTGCCGGGGCTAAGAACTGCTAAGCCAAGAGGCTGAGCCCTGGCAAAAACTGGCTGCGAGAATTCTTGCAGAGACGGCTCATGGCCAGCAGGCGGGGCCATGGGTCTGAATTTCAGCCCCCAGGGAGATGGTCTCATGGCTCCATTAGCAGGATGTGGGGGGGAGATCCTATCCCTCCAGTCCCCACCAGTTTTGGTGTCCATCTTCCCCAGGCTGATCAAGGGGACACTGGCGTCCCTGAACCGCCAGATCCCACACTGTGTCCAGCTCTGGTCCGCAGGATCCCCACACACAATGGCCTTGCTGGCCCCACTTCCTCCTATTCTCACTCAGCAACTCTGGCAGGAAGCCCCCTGCAGGCCTGGGAGGGGAGGGGCAATTCTGTGGGCCTGTTACCCTTAGCCCCTCCCCATCCCACTCCAGGGGGGGACCGGGCCTCACAGCAGGGCCTGGGCCTGGCTGGACAATACATCCTATCCCAACCTTCTCCCAGCTGGGGGGGCAGCTGAGTGGTCTAAATTATACCGACTCTACAGTTCTGGGAGCAGCATGGGATCTAGTGGGTGGGCTAGGAGCCAGGGCTCCTGGGTTCTATTCTCACCTCTGGGAGCGCAGTGGGGGGTCAGGGTTTCTATTTCCATTTTGCTTATTTTTTTTGCCCCAAATGAGTGCAGAGGCCTCCGCAGGCTCCAGGACTCCCATGGCTGAGTGCCCTTGGGGCACACAGTGCATGGCAAATACCAGTCTGTTCCTCTGCCCTGACTCCTGTCCCCCCTAGTGTTCACCAGTGTGTTCTACAGCTGCCAATCCCTGCTCTGCTGTCAGCCCCCAGGTTTGTGCCCCCTACACTGGAATGGGGTGGGGGAGGTAGAGGCAGACTGGGAAGGGGCTGCCAGTTCTTCCCAAGCTGACAGCCCATCCCCTCTCACCCTCCCTTCCCAGCTGGGGTGGGCATGGCTATAGAAGCCCAGCCCTGAGACAGGATTGCTCAGTGTTTGGCAAGAGAAACCACAATGGAAAGGGCTTGGGTGGGCTTGGGAGTGCATCCCTAGGGCTGCCGGACAGGAGTGAGGGGCACCAGCAGGGCTTGGGGGAAGGCCCAAGGCTGGACTGGCAGAGGGCTGTGGGTCAGGATTGAGGGGCACCGGCAGGGCTGGGGGGAAGGCCCGGGGCTGGGGTAGCAGGGGGCTGTGGGACAGGAGTGAGGACCAAGATGTGACACCCTGGTTCAGATGTAGATTCTGCTGAGTTAACAATGAGATGGGGGCTGGTGATTCAGCCGCTGACTCAGAGGCAGCTGGTTTTGTATGGGGCAGTGGGGACACATTGCCCCCCCACACACATACACACACTTTGGAATGGTCACATCAACCCCTGTGGGTGGGGGGTGGGGAAAGCGCTCATCCTGATCCAGACCTGTGTTTGGAGCATGGCAGGAGTCCAGGACTGTGGCTCACTGACAAGCAACATGTGACATGTGTGTGGTTGCACACGGTGCACATGAGCTCACCATCAACTGCCTGTGGCTGTCCAGACACCCTGCCACACGTGACACACACACAAGTGACAGGCAGATGTGTGGCCACAGGCTTGTGCACCCGCCTATAGCTGTGCGTGAGTAGTCACAAGGGAACCAGGGGGGAGGCCTATGTCCATGTGGCTTGCATGTGTGTGACCCTGCCAGGCAGGGATCCTTGTGCCAATGCCTGTGCTGGCGTGTGCACTTTTGCAGGAGGGCGCATGTGGCAGGAGGCCCCTGCCCGGGTCTGGGGGGAGCTGGCTGCTCTCTGGGCCTGTCCGGCCGTTTCTAAATTTGGGGTGGTGAATTTTCCACCCCGGAGCGCAGGCGGCTCCGATGCCAGGACCCAGCTCAGCTTACTGGGTATTTATACCCGCTGAGCCTGCGGGCAACTATGTGAGCAGGGGGGTGGGAGCAGTTCAGTGGGGGAGGGGCAGAGGGGTTGGGCTGGGGAAGTTGTGGGGAGGGGAAGGGTCCGTCTCCAGTCTGGTCTTAGTTGTGACCCCCAGTTGTGATCCTCTCCCTCCCCATACTGTGTCACCTCCCCTGCCTCGCCCCCCCCTCCTGCCCAGGACTGAGATAACCCAGTTCCTCAGGGAAGTAATGGTGTGGGGGGGTATCCAGAGAAGGGGCATAGGGGTGCAGTGGGAACTTTTTAATCGACCTCAGATCTATTTACCACTTCTCCCGCCCCTACAAAAACGGTGTCCCTCAACTGTGAATCCCTGGGTGTTGGGGGGGCAACTGCTGTCCACCTCCCAGGCTGCCCCCATCTGCACCACCCCCACACTATCAATCCCCCACTCTTCCCGTCCCCCCTCACTACCCCCAGCTACCCCCACTCTTTCCCCATCCCCTTCATTTAGCCCCCTCCCATTCTCCCCATCTACCCCCGACTCCTCACCCCCATGTACCCCCAGCCCCAATATCAGAGCCCCTCCCCCCATCGCCCCAGACGTGTCTGGGCTAAAGCGCCCACCCTGGTGGGTCGCATTTCCAGTAACGGCCCCATTTACCCCCCAGCCCCGCCCTGCCGCCCATCCCTGCCCCCTGGCTGGGGGGAGCCGGGCTCGCGCCTTTCTCTGCTTCTCCTTTCGCCTCCTTCTGCTTCTTGTTTCGTCTCAGCGCGAACTTCCTGAGCGGGGCGAGCCCGGCCCAGCCCAGCCCAGCCCGGCCCAGCGCTCACCCCCGGCGCCCCGAGTCCCGGGGAGGGGCGTGCGGGATCCAGGAAGCGCAGACACGGCCGGCCGACAGGCGCTGGCAGCCTGGCACGGCTCCCTCGGCCCCTCGTTCGCATTCGCCGGAGTTTTCCCTTCTCTCCCTGTCGGACTCGGACACGGGAACCGAGTTGGAACTGATCTGCCCGGCGTCTGGCCCGGGGGCAGAGAGCGGGACCGGGGCGACACCGGGGGTGAGAGCCAAGCGCCCCCCGGGATCGGGGTGTCCGGGCCGGGGGGGGGAGACAAGAACCCCCCTGGTGTCGGGGGGGAGCCCAGTCCCCCAGAGCTCGGGGTGTCCGGTGGGAACCCAGCCCCCCAGGGATCGGGTGTCTGGGGGGAGCCCAGTCCCCCTCAGGTGTCGGGGCGGAGCCCAACCTCTCAAAGATCGGGGTGTCCGGGGGGAGCCCAGCCCCCCTAGGGATCGGGGTGTCCGGGGGGTAAGCCAAGCCACCCGTGATTTTTCGGGGAGCCCCGTTGGCTCGGTGCCCGCATCCAAGCCGTCGCCGCTCGGGTGTCGTTTTCCGGCAGCCTCGGGGTCTGGGACGATGGGCATCGCGGGGCATCGACCGGGGCCGCGGGGGCAGCCGTGACCTGAGAGGCGCCTGGTCCGGCTCGGCGGGGGGCTGCTCCGCGGGATCCCCTACGAGCCGCGATGAGCTCCGCGTGGAAGAGACTCCAGCGCGTGGGAAAACGCGCCTCCAAGTTTCAGTTCGTGGCCTGTTACCAGGAGCTGATGGTGGAGTGCACCAAGAAATGGTGAGTGGGGCCAGCCCCGCCCTGGGGCAGACACGGCCCGGCTCGCAACCAGCCTTGCGTGGGGCACAGGTGGGCAGGGGACCCCAGGGTATTTAATGGGGCAGAGGTGCGCATGGGGGGACCCCAGTATATCTAAGGGACAGAGGTGCGCATGGGGGGACCCTAGTATATGTTATGGGGCAGAGGTGGGCACGGGAGACCTCAGTATATCTAATGGGGGAGAGGTGGGCATGGGGGACCCCAGGATATCAAAGGGTTAAAGGTTGGCTCGGGGTACCCCAGTATATCTAAGGGGGAGATTAGGAATGTGAGGATGAGGGGAGGATTTGGGGGGGGGTTGTCACAGGGAGAGGGAAGCTCTTCTCAGCCTCTTATTTTTGTTTATTAATATGAGTTAATTAATCAAGGAGACTTAAGGAGGGGGCCAGGTACCTCTGGCAGGGGTGGGGGGGATTAACTCTTTCTTAACTGACAGACCCCAATGGGGGACAGGGTGGGGGTCAGTTGTTTCACTCTGGAAATGTTTTTTCCCCTATTTTAGCCATAGGAAGGGAGCCTCCCAAAATACTGTTGGGAGGGGTGACTGAGTGAGAGGAGCCCAGGTTGTTGTCATGGGGGAGCTGTCAAGGCTGGTCTGGAAGATGGGACACTCCCCTCCCCGGTCATGGTGGGGAAATTTGGGCATCTTGGGGAGGGGAATTGAGGGTGGAAAGGGGTCAGTCCCCACACTCCAGTTTATAGTGGTTGAGACTCCCCCCTCCTACTCTGACCCCATGTTCCTGCTTCCACCCCAATGCTCCCCATTTCCAAATCTCCCCCCTGCTGAGCCCAGCTCCCTTAGTAGCTCCTGGGTCAGAGGGGGGCGCCTTGGGGCTGGCCTCTGCACAGAGATGTGAGGAGGCCTGGTTCTTGTGGAGCTGGGAAGGGTAATTGTAGAGTTGGTGGTTCAGGGGCAAAGTCTGAGGGCCCAGTCCACTGTGGCACTTGGTTGATGCAGACTGCTCCCCTCAGGCCCAGGTGGCAAACCAGCCACAGGTCTTCCCCCCGCCCCATGCCACCTGTGGAGGTGTCCCTCAGTCCATGCAGGGCTTGTGTGGGAGGGGAAATCTAGAGCTGAACCTAGGACTCAGGGACTAGCAGGAGGTAGGGGCATCCCTCCAGGATGGGGGGCAAAGCAGAAGAATTGAGAACATGCTCTAGAACACAGGGATTGGCAGAAGGTGGGTGTCTCTCAAGGCTTGGAAGAGGGGCTGGGGCAGGAGGAATCTAGACCGTGCACTAGACCATGGGGAGTGACAGGTGGTGGTGGCGTTCCTCTAGGATTGGGATATGGTTGGAGTCTAGAGCATGCTCTAGAACATGGAGATAGGGGGAATCTCTTAATGTCCTGTTTTAGGGGGTGGCTAGAGCTGGAGACATCCCCTGTGATTTAGGGGGAACCTAGAAGTGGAAAGATCCCCCTCTCCCAAGCTCTGGACCATCTCCATGGAAATCGGAGGAGCCAGCAGGGGGGAGAGCTGGTGGGATTTTTTTTAACTAAAATGACCTTAAAAGGGATTCATGGAAAAATGATAAATATTTAGTGACAGCAGCTAAAAATAGAATCAGGAGGGAGGGGTAGGGGCCTGGGAAGGGGGGCAGAGGAGGGGGGCAGAGAGACTGTAGGAAGAGTGGGCTTATTGGGAGGGGGGGCAGGATAAAGGCCTCTCTTTGGGATTAGATCAGGGGCCCTTGCAGAGCAGAAGTGTTCCAACTGGGTCCCCCAGGCCCCTCCCCTTCCCTTAAAATCCCGCCCTCATATGCTCCTTCCCCCCCTCTCTGTGGTTCCTCCCCACAATCTCTCTCCCTCAGGGTCTCCTCCCCCTTTCCCAAATGCTCCTCCCCTTTCCTCATTGTCCCTCCTCTTCCCCCCATGACCCCTCCCTGTTCTCCAGCCCCACCCTCATGCTTCCTCTCCCACCTCTCCTGTTGCCATGCCCCAGGGATTTCCCCCACCACGATCCCTGGATGGGGCCCAAAGCCCCAGCCTGGTGGGTATCTCCCTGCCCCCTGGGCTCCGGCTACCCCCGATCCAGGCCTGTGGAGGAGTTAGGGGGGTATCAGGTTTCCCAGCAAGACACCAATTTAGCTCAGCACCTGCACAGATGCTCTGATCTCCGACCCTCTCCTGACAGAGCTAAATTTAGCCCCTTGGCCACAAGCCCAGGAGGGAGGAAGGTGCTTGTAAACTGGCCCAGGTCTCAGAGCAATGCACCTGGCCAGGGGCTCAGGGCTGGAGTTGCAGGGGGCTGCAGGTTGAGAGTGAGGAGCTTTGGCAGCTGGGAGGGGAAGCCCAGAGCTGGGATAGCAGGGGGCTGTGGGCCGGAAGCGAGGGGCACCGACAGAGCTGTAGGGGGGGGAGGCCAGGGCTGGGCTAGCAGGGGGCTGTGGGCCGGAAGCGAGGGGCACCGACAGAGCTGTAGGGGGGGGGGAGGCCAGGGCTGGGCTAGCAGGGGGATGTGGGCCGGGAGTGAGGGGCACCGGCAGAGCTGAAGGTGAGGGAAGCCAGGGCTGGGTTGCAGCTGAGCTGTGGAGGGGCTGTGAGCTGGGACTGAGGATTTGCTACAAGATGAGTGTGTTTATATTTCCACTCCTACAAGAGCTAAGAATACCCCACAATGGTCAATGTTATGACAGTGCTAGGATGGGGGAGGGGTGCCTCCTGGGTGTCCTGGCAGGGCTCAGAGATTCTGGCTAGCAGGAGGTTTAGAAACTCCTGGGTGGGTGGTTGTGAAGGTGCCAGGTTGGATGGGCCCATGGGGCTGCTCTGGGGCTGCCCGCTGACCTTGGGAGGGTGCCAGAGTGACGTCTGTGGGTTGGAGGTGAAGGGCCTTGGCTGAGATTCTGGGAGAGGGGGGACCCTGGGAATCAGTGACAGCATCAGGGTGGGGGAGTGAGGCCTTGACTGACACAGACAGATGGGAGCTGACCTGTAGACTCCATAGCACTTCAGGCCAGCCCAACCCCTCTGGGAGCCCAGGGCTGGGATAGGAAGGGGCGGCAGGGCCGGCTCCAGGCACCAGCTTAACAAGCAGGTGCTTGGGGCGGCCAAGGGAGAGGGGCAGCACCTGCGGCAATTCGTGGGCGGCAGGTGGGCGGCAGGTCCCTCACTCCCTCTAGGAGCGAAGGACCTGCTGCTGAACTGCTGCCGCCGATTGCGGTCTTTTTTTTTTTCCCTAATTGCTGCTGCTGATCGCGATCACGGCGTTTTTTTTTTTTTTTGCTTGGGGCGGCAGAAATGCTGGAGCCGGCCCTGGCTGCAGGTCAGGACTGAGGGGCACTGGCAGAACTGGGGGGGAGCCCTGGGGCTGTGTGGTGGATGCGGGGGAGGCTGGGCCCTGTTCACTTGTATACACCTGCTGTCAGGATGTTCTCAGCTTTTTTTCATGTTGTAAGTGGTGATGCTGGGGGATGGACTGTGTAAATAAACAGGGTGAGCTGCCATTAACCCCACCCATCTGGTCAGAAATTCCCCCCCAGCCATTGCCTCCCTGCCCCACCAGCTCACAGTCAGCTAGAGCAGCAGTGACACCCCCCGCTCTGCCAGCCACTGGCCTGTGGCCAGAAACTCCCTGTACAGCTGATGAGTCGAACACCATGTCCAGTCGGCAGTGCTACAATGTGATAAACCCACTGGCAGCCAGTGCCCTCCCCAACAGCTGGGCAGCACCCCACCTTAATAGCCCCTGCGCCCCACCCCAGAGGCAGTTGCATCTCAGCCCTGGGTGTGTGATCCTTGGATATACAGCCCTGTGCCCTTCCCCTCAGGTGGATGCATCTCAGACTGGTGCATAGGGGCTGCAGAGGAGTTGAGGTAACCTCACATACAAGCATGCTTTGGAAGTGTGTCTCAGTCAGCCAGGGCCGGGCTGCATACACAGAGTTTCCAGAACGTCCCTTTGCAGTAACAAGAAGCCTTCAGCTCTTCCCTGGTGCCTCCAAGCCAGGAATTCCAGCCTTTATAGCCTGTAATGAATTACACCACTTTGCAGCCCTGTCTGTATCCCTGCTAGGGAGTTAGCAAACTGGGACACACACAGACTCACCCAAGGTTGTGCAAAGGATCTGTAGCACAGCCAGGAATGGAACCCAGGAGTCCTGATTTCCAGTTCCTCCCTCCCCATCCCCCTGCTGTAACCCTCCAGACCACTCCCCTCCCAGAGCTGCAGATAGCACCAGGATTCCTGATGCCTGCCCAACTCCCCCCCTCACCCCAACCCCTAGACTCTATTCCCCACAATGTCTGCAGCGTTTGGGGCGTATGAGTGCAAGCAAGAGCCAGCCCCACCCCAGGGCCTGGCCCATGTGGCTGTTAAAGATACAGAGCAAAATGTCTCGGAGTGAGAAGCTCTGATGTCAAGGGGTGAAGCAGAGGCATTGGGTGAGAGAGGGGGGTGCCCGGCACCTCTTAAGGACTATGACACAGGCCTCAGACTCCTGGCCCAGACAGTGGCCTGCAGGGAGAGCTGGGCTGGGATCCCCACACTCCTTGGCGATGTGAACCATGGCGTCCACGCCTCCTGAGTAAACACCCCATGTACAGGCAAACGCAGCTTCTCTGGCTACAGAGTGACTCACTGGTTTGTACCATGCTAGGGCTGGCTGCTCCTACCTGGACTCGGGAGACTGGGAGCAGGGTGGGGAGTCTGGGGGGGGCGCTCTCCCCTGGCAGTCACTGCTGACCCCAATGCCCCAGTGTGGTGCTGTGCAGCAGGGGGTGCATACCCCTTGCATTCACTGCGTTTTTCTCTCCAGGCTCCTTCCTCCAATCCTTATCTCTTTCTGCCCCAGTGTCTCTCACTCAGTGTGGGGCGAGCAGGGGGTTCAGGCTGGGCCACACCCGCCCAGCAGCCAGGCGGGGAAGATAAAAACTCTCCCCACCCAGCTCTGCAATGTGCTGCTCTGTGGGCAGCCCAAACTGGGAGCAGTGTTCCAACCTCTAGCCCCCACGCCCTTCCCAGAGCTGGGATAGAACCCAGGAGTCCTGGCTCCCAACCCCTCCTGAGTTAACCCACTGGCCCCCACTCCCCTCCCCAAGCTGGGGTAGAACCCAGGTGTCCTGACTTTTGCTCTAACCAGGGGGGGTTACTGGGTGGAGGGGGCCATTGTTCAGATCTGGGGGGGTTGGGAAGTGGGGGATATTGGGTTAAATGGACTCCTACTTCCAGGGCCTGGGCAATAAGGGGGAGAGTCAGTGGAGCTGCACAAAGGGGGGCAGTTCTGGGGGCTGGCAGAGGGGTGAGGGGGGAAGCTTTTCCATGGGACAGGTGGTGAGGGGCAGAGGGTGAGGCTGGGACCTTGGTCACCTGCTACCCTGATCCCAATGGGAAGGGTTGTGGGGAGGGTCCTTGGGAACTTATTTTGTCTTCCTCCCCATCCCTCCTAATTTGTTCATTCGTTCCCTCCGTCTCGCCCTACAGGCAGCCAGACAAGCTGATTGTGGTTTGGACCAGGAGGAACCGACGCGTCTGCTCCAAGGTGGGTGGATTCAGGATGTCCTCTCTGTAAGGGGGCCAGCTCTGCTGCAGCCCCGTGGTGGGGGGATTGGCCGGCTCGGGGGGCAGGGAATGGGACATGTGGCTGTTCCCCCTTTGGGTGTGAGCTCTGATCTGGCTGTGTGTGTTCTGCAGGCTCACAGTTGGCAGCCGGGGATCAAGAATCCGTATCGGGGGATGGTTGTGTGGATGGTGCCGGAGAACGTGGATATAATGGTGACGCTGTACCGGGTATGGCAGCTGCTGCTTGCACAAGCATGCTGTTGCGCACACACGCTTATGCACCCCTTTGTACTGACACGTGTGTTCTTACACTGGCCTACGCACTCCGGCACAGGCACTTGCACCAGCACACGAACGGCTCTTACCCAGATGTGCGGCTCTTCTGTGGTTGGGCCTGTGTTTGCACAAAAGCTCACGGTTACACACCAACTCACAGCCTCCCATGCACTGCTGTGCCTGTCCGCTCCTTTGTGTACCTGTTGGTGTACATTGGGCACTCACACTTGCAGTCACACACCCATCCACACACCACTGCGTGCAATCTCGCGGGGCTGGCACACACTCAGGCCTCCCTTCGTACGATCCTGACAACACACTCACACTGGCACCCTTGCGTATAACTCCCCCCATCTCCCAGTGCAACAAACAGTGCAAAGCCCCTCTCATCTTTTGCCCCATCCCCCCCACAGGACCCCCACGTGGAGGAGTATGAAGACAAGGAATGGACCTTTGTGATTGAGAACGTACGTCCAGGGAGAACTAGAGCGCGGTAACTCAGGGCTGGATGACAGCGGCCAGGCAGGACATGGGATCTTCCATCGCAAAGCCATGCAGGGCTGCCAATTGCAGCTGCCTGTGGGGTGGTATGACACTTCCCAGGGCGCATGGGCTAGGAGGCACCTCACCACCCCCTGTCCTTAGCATGAGGGACCCTTGTCTGTGCCTATTGGGGCCCAACTCCACCAGTCACAGGCAGCATGAGTAACCCCCGGCCGACGCTGTCTCGCTGCAGGCTAGCAACAGGCCCGCTCTAGCTGCCAGCCCTGCAAACGTCTCTCTGGAGTGCCCAGCCCCTGCTCCGCTGGACACTCCCAGTGTTCGCTGATACGCTGCTCCCAGGGGGACAGGACGCCCCAGCTGAGATCACCACTCTGTGTAACACAGCATTCAGCCATGCACCTAGTGAAACCAGGCGTCTGTTTAATTAACAAAGATTAGAGTCTCAAGAAGTAGCAAGTGAAGGTGTTGGAAACAAACAATAAACTCATAACTCGCCTTCTCGAGCCTAGACTTACCTAACAAGTCACTTTCCTGTCTAATGAAGAGTAGCTCCCCCGAGAGTCTTCCTCCCAGTGTGTAACAGCCAGGCTGGCTGTGCCTCTCTGTTCATAAGAGGATGCCCCCGGCAGCTTGTCTTTCCCTGGCTGCATATTTCTTGTAGAGTTTAGCAAACTTTTGATTAGCTTGAGGCGTAGTAATGCTAATAGGGTATCCGCTGGGAGCCATACAGGACGTGCCACACACAGGAGCAGGCAGGGGAGAAGCATCTCTTACCTCCTGCTGTTCGTCACCTTCGGGTGACCAGCCCCAATTCCCAGGCCGTAAGAACATAATTGTTATTGTAGATACACAGCTCCCGAAATATTATCTGTATGTACATTTTGCAATGGTTATGACGACCAGTGGGCTACTGGCTTTTAGTAGAGGCCTCACCTGACACCCTTTGGTGAATTATTGTGCATGTACCAGACCCAGAGGATCTCTGTAGCCCCAGGCATCCCCTCTGTGCCCTCTCCCAGTTGGCACCAAGAGCTTGCTAGGTCACAGGAGGAACTCAGCAGCCATTTAACAGCATAGAATCTGTAAAGGGGACAGTGTAGCTGAGGGAAAGGTGGAAATCAGGATTCCTGGGTTCCATCCCCATCTGTAATATGGCAGTGGTGACTAGTGTGTAGAGTGAGCGGGCCTGGGAGTCAGGACTCCTGGGTTCTCTCCCCAGCTGTGGGAGTGGAGTGGGGTCTAGTGGTTTTATGATAAGGGAGGCTGGGAGTCAGGCCTCTCCCCTCTCCCCCTGCTCACAGTACTCACTCCCTCTTCCCAGGAGTCCAAGGGGCAGCGGAAGGTGCTGGCCTCGGCCGATGTTAACCTGCAGCGCTTTGCCCGCCCCACACCTGCCCAGGCCGAGCTGAAGCTGAAGCTGAAGCCGCGCTCGGTCAAGGTGGTGGCTGCCACGCTGCAGCTCACACTGTCCTGTGTCTTCCTGCGTGAGGGCAAAGCCACGTGAGTTCTATCAATAATGTGGGGCCTATGGAAACAGGCCTGTCTGGGAACAGCAGTGTCCCTTGGCGGGAGGGGGTGGGCATGGAGGGGCTCTGGCTTGCACTTCCCTCTCCATGCTGCTCCGGCAGGGGGGGCAGCGCGGGGGCTTGGCCCAAAGAAGGGCTGGGCAAAGAGCAAAAGTCTTGACTGAGGATGGGTGCTCTTGGCGGCCATCTTGGTGCAGGAAGATGGCTGCCTGAGGGCGACTATCTTGGCATGGCTGCAGGGGAAGAGGGTGGCATAGGCAGCCATCTTGGCATGGGCGAGGAGGGTGTCAGGGGGCAGCCATCTTGGTTAGAGGGTCTCTCCGGGCGGCCACATTGGCACCACTGTTGAGGAAGAGGCTGGTTTAGAGAGGCCACCTTGGCAGTTTTTAATAGTAGGATGTCTGCCACCTGGCCACAGTTGGTGCATCGTTTAAATAGTCCCCTCCCCTGCCAGTAATGGCCACAGAGGTGGGGGTGGGGCTGCCCTCGCCTCTGGCTTAGGAAAGCCCCATGTTTCCAGAGGGACGGTGTGAATGGTTGCAAGGGTCATGCCAGGCTGGAGGGGGAAAGGGAAATGGGACAGCACTGTCCCACCTTACCGTGACCCCCCTCCCTGTGGCCACACAGAGGGGGGTCACGGTAAGGTGGGACAGTGCTGCCCCCCCCCTTACACTGTGCCTTCCCCCCAGGGACGAGGACATGCAAAGCCTGGCCAGCCTCATGAGCGTCAAACCCAGCGACATCGGCAACCTGGATGACTTCGCCGAAAGCGACGAGGATGACGAGGCAGCCAGGAGGGCGCGGCAAGAGGATGGGAGCAGCCAGGGCACAGCGCCAACAGGTGGGCCCAGCCAGCCAGTCCTGAGGGGCCCCCCCTTCCCCATCAGCCCTGCTGGTGCCCTTCGCTCCCGACCCGCAGCCACCTGCTATGCCAACCCTGGGCTCCCCCACATACAGTTCTGCTGGTGCCCCTCAGTCCTGTCCCACAGCCCCCTGCTTTCCCACCCTGGTCCATTCATAATTGCGGTTTGCCTTGGTTGCTGTTTCGTGGGGTTCCCTTGGCTCCACTATTGCTGCGGCTCCTGATAGTAGCTTGTAGTGTCTCTTTGCCTTCCAGCAGGGGGCACTCTCTAGGCTTTTCTTTGCTGGGGGGCAGTGACTGAGGTTCCATCTGTCCCCTGGGACTGGCGGCTCTGTCCCCACTCCCCGGGGCAGCTGTGCTGTCTTGGGGTTGGTCATTCTCTCTCTCTCTCTCTCCTGTCTGTCTGTCTCCACCACTTTTGGCTGTCCGTCTGTGTCCCGCACTGTAGGTTTCATTCAGACCATATTGCTGGGCTATTTCACAGGTAGGACCATCCCGCCAAGTGGGGTTTGGGGCAGGTGGGGTGCAGAGCAGGCAGCAAACCGCTACATCTCTCTCTCTTTCTCTCCCTGCCGCCTTCCACATTCCCTCACTCCCCCCTCCCCCACCCCCAGACACATCGCGAGAGCTCAACACTCTTGCTGAGGAAGAGGAGAATCCCTCGGCCCCCGGGACCAGCAGGGCAGCAGCTGGGAGAGCAACCCCCTGTGGGACACCCCGAGAGGCAGGTAAGTCAACAGTGGGTGCAAGAGCCCTGGGCTGGGCACCAGGACTCCTGGGTTCTGTTTGGGAGGGGCACGGGGTCTAGTGGTTAGAACAGGGGCGGGTTGGGAGTCAGGACTCCTCGGTTCTAGCCCAGCCCTGGGAAGGGAGTGGGGTCTAGTGACCTGAGGAGTGGGGGAGTCTGAGAGCTTCCCACCAACTCCCTCAGGGCAGGAATATGGGGAAGTTCTGTCTAGTTGTCACCCACTTCCATTGCCCCCAGTCTCTGACTCCTGGGATCCTCTTTCCTCTCCTGCAGGCTCTGCCAAGGAGGAAACTGTCCGAGTGGCTGACACCCCAGATGCCCCCCTGAGGGACACCCCCCTCCCAGCCCTGGAGCTGGTCCTACAGGGAGCAGCACCCTCCCCTCCCCCAGAGTTGATGGGGCCCCCCCCAGTAAGTGGTGCAGGCCAGGCCGGGAGGGCTGGGCAGAACATGGCAGCCGGTGGGAACCCAATGGGAGCTGCAGGGGCTGTGGAACCAGGCGCTAAGGGGGAGACGGGGGCCCAAGTCCCGAATCAGGCCCACAAGCCAGGCACAGGCCCCTCGCAGGAGACGGGACGACGTGGTGGCAACCCCAGGGTTGAAGAGGAGGAGAAAGCAGCAGCCTTGATGAAGCGGCAGGCATCAGGGAGTGACACCAAGGGCAGGTGAGTCTGGAGCCCTGGCTTCTATCCTGGCTGTGGGAGGGGTGTGGAGGTATAGTGGTTAGAGCAGGAGGCTGGGAGCCAGGACTCCTGCGTTCTGTTCTGGCTCTGGGAGGGAGGGAGGGGGGTCCAGTGATTGGAAGTAGTGGGCAGGGGGGCGTGGGTGATGGCGTTGTGGTGGGAAAAAGTTAGTGCCCAGCTGCTTATGGATAAACCCAGCCACCCAGTGCTGGTTTCGCTTCTGCCTTCAGGCGGTTTGCCAGTCCCCTCCCCCGCTCAGGGAAGAGAGCATGTTCCCACCCAAGGAGGAAGCCGCACTTCCCCTGCCCAGGAAGGGAGCTGCAGGCCGGGCTGCCAGCTCTGCCCCTTCCAAAAGGGGGGGGGGGAGGGGATGCAGCTGGCGCTACAGGAAACTGCTGTCCCTACTGAGCGGAGCAGATTAACAAAGGAGGAAGTTTGGGGGGTGGGTCAGGGAATGGGACACGGGGCCTGTCCCCTCTAGGGGGCGCTGGCTGTGATCCAGCACCAGGGTGGGGGACTGGCAGGCTCAGAGGGGTGGGAAATGGGGTGTGTCCCCTCTAGGGGGCGCTGGCTGTGATCTGACCCCACGGTGGGGATGGACTGGCTCGGAATATCCCAAAGCTGCTCATCTGTACTGAGGAACTCCTGTGTTTAGCGGACATTTTCAATATTCCAAGTGGAGTGTAGAGATAGTGGGGTCTAGTGGGTTGGGTGCGGGGAGGGCTGGACACCAGGACTCCCTGGTTCCATCCCTGGATCTGGGGGGTGGGGTGGTTAGAGCAGAGGGGTTCAGGGAGCCAGGATGCCTGGTGTCTGTTCCGGGCCTTTCAGTTCCCATGCTAAGAAGATTGGGCTCATTGTCAAGTTGGGAGAATGAGAAATCCTCCCAGGAGGCAGCTCTGCCCTCACGATGAGACCAACTCCCCTTTTGTCCCCTTTGTCCCTCCCTCCAGGCCCAGTGACATCTGGATGCCCCGGGCGGAGAGCCCTGTCCCTGCCCCACGGCATAAGAAACCCCTCCTGCCGGAACCCGCTGCGCCCACAGCTCCACCCCCCGAGGTACCCTCCATCCAGAGACGCCGATGGGAAGGTGCCAAACCGCCTCCTTCCCAGCTCAAATTGGGAGCAGCAAAGTCAGAGCAGGGCCCTCGGCCCGCAGCCTCTCTGCCTGTGCCAGCGGTGCCTGCCAGGGCCCGGCTAGCCCGGCCTAGGTCAGCAGAACTGCCAGCCCGGCCGAAGCCACTGCCCCGGCCCCGGAGGGACAGGCGGGCCCGTTCGGCGTCTCCGGGCATCTCTGTAGTGATGTACCTCGATGAGGATGCACCAGGACCTGCCGTTGTTGCTGGGGAGGGCATCGGCCTGCCCAGGAGCGGCTTGGGGGCGGGTGTGCCCTCGGCCGCTGCGCTGCTGGCCTTGTCGTCTGTGGTGGGGCTGCCCCCGGTGCCGTGGGGCAGGCAGGGAGAGAAGGCAGCGACAGCAGCAGATGCTACTGGTTGGCCAAGCATCGGGGGTGCTGTTGCTACTGTGGTGGTGCCCCTCAAAGAGGAATGGGGCAGGGCGACAGGAGAGGGTCCCAGGGGGGCATCCCATCTGGAGAGGCTGACATCAGATGGGGCAGCCGCGAAGGATGCTGGGGGAGCTGCTGTGCGGGGGCGGGGAGGAGATGCAGCCTTTCTGGTGGGCCCACCCAAGCCGTGGAGGTATCGGTCAGAAGATGTGGTTGGAGAGGGTGCCAGGGGGGCAACCAGAGAGGTGATGGAGGCGATCCCAGGCCAGTTGGAGAGGGGCAGGCTGGAGGAGCCAGCGGAACGGGAGAACCGCAGGGCAGACAGGAAAGCGCGTGGGGGCGCTGCTCAGAGCGTAGCGGAAGTTGTGCCCTTGCTGGAGAGGCACAGAACAGAGCTGGTGGCACAGGAGGATTCTGGGCGAGGATTCTGGCCAAGCCCAGCACCAGACCCGGCTCCCTCAGCGACGCCCCCCAAGCTGGAGCAGCGCAGGCCAGCAGGAGAGAGACCTAGGGCAGCATCCCAGCCAGAGAGGCCAGGAGCAGAAAGGGCAGCTTGGAAGGACGCTGCGGGGGCTGCTGTGCAGGGGGGGGCAGGCAATGCATCCTCTCTGATGGCCCCCCCCAAGCCATGGAGGTGTCGGTCGGAGGACGTGATGGGACAGGGTGCTGGGGAGGTGCCCAGCAGTGTGATGAAGGCAGGAGCAGGAGATGGACTGTGGCGGGCAATCCCAGCCTGGCCAGAGTGGGGCAGACTGGAAGGGGCAGGGGGAGAGGCAGCTGGCAAGCCAGGTGGCGGTGCGGTGCACTCAGTAACAGCGGATACCCTGCCTGTGGAGGCCCCAGCCCGGCTGGAGAGAGGCAGGCTGGAGGAGGCAGGGGGAGATGCGGCCGGCAGGCCATGCGAAGATGCGGCAGGGGGAGAGGTGGCCGGAGATCTGGCAGGGGGAGAGGTGGCCGGCAGGCCGTGCGGAGGTGCGGCAGGGGGAGAGGTGGCCGGAGGTCTGGCAGGGGGAGAGGCGGCCAGCAGGCCGTGCGGAGGTGCAGCAGGGGGAGAGGTGGCCAGAGGTCTGGCAGGGGGAGAGGCGGCCAGCAGGCCGTGCGGAGGTGCGGCAGGGGGAGAGGTGGCCGGAGGTCTGTCAGGGGGAGAGGTGGCCGGCAGGCCGTGCGGAGGTGAGGTGCTGTCAGTAGTAGCAGACGCCCCATCTCTGGAGGCTCCTGCCCAGCTGGAGGGTGCCACGGAGAGCCTGGGAGCCGACGGTACAGTGCCCGGGGGTGCCACCCCCAGCACACCTGAGCCCCTGCTGGAGAGGGCTGGGCCGGAGGAGGCAGCGGGCTCCAGAGAGCGTGGTGGGGCTGTGGGCTCCCTGCCCAGCAAGGAGGATGCCAGTGGGACAGGGCTCCCTCTGGAGAAGCAGTCAGGGCTCTGCACAGACCAGCTGGCCACCTGCACCGCCCCAGGAAGGAGCAGCAGACAGGTTGCAGCCCTCGCACTGATGCCCCCCCAGGATGCGCCCATCCTGGGCACCCCGTCCCCCTTCACTGAGCCTTACGTCTCACAGTGCCGCTTCACCCTGAGCCTCCCGCCCACCCACCCTGCCCGGGAGAGGAGTGCCAGCCCATCATCCAACGAGGGGACCCAGGCGTCCGGGCGGGAGCCGTCTCCCCCGCCCTGCGGCGCTGTCCAGGATAGCATAGGGCAGGAGGCGGCCCAGGTAGGGACAGCAAATGCTTGTGCCCCCAGCCCTGCCAGCTGCCATGGCTGCCTGCCCGCCCTTGCTTTCAACTAATCCTAGGGGCTGTGTGTGTGTGCGGGGGGCTGTGGAAGGACAGACAGACTCACAGCATTGCTACAAGGATAAAGCTTTTAATTGGGGTGTGTGGAGGGGATAAAACTCATCGTGGGCTAACTGCCTTCTCCCCTTTAATCGGGGTTGAGGATAACACCTAGAGATGGATCCTCAGGGCCCGTGGTCCCCTCACTAACCCCCTCCACCTCACAGTGTGGCCCACAGACCCCTGCCCTGCATCCGGCTTGCTCACTGTGTTGCATGGGGCTGGCTGGATCCCAGCTGCCAATGAGCCCTGGGCCAACCCCAGCCAGGAGAACACCCTTGCCTAGCAGCGGGAAGGGGAGGGTGCAACAGCCGGGACTTGGCTGGGTCTTTGTCCCATATAGCCCCAGCCCTTCACTCCTGGCTGCCATGGGGCAAGGGGGTGGCTTGGTGCCTGTGGGTGTGAGGGATCTCTAATCATGGGGGAGGTCCTGGTGATGGGTGGTGGTGGTGGGGTTATGCAGACAGGAGAGTTGGGGAGCCAGGAGGGCAGTATGGCTGGCCAGTGCTGGTGTGGGGGTGCTTTGCCTGGTGTGGGGTGATCCAGCACCTCCCCACCCCATATCCCACCCCATCCCCTGTTTATCTCCTAGGAGGAGCCCCCAGCAACCAGCCCAGGCCTGGTCAGCTGCAGCCAGTCGCTGCTGGAATGGTGCCAGAATGTCACGGCTGGCTACCGGGGTGTCCTGGTCACTAACTTCACCACCTCCTGGCGCAACGGGCTGGCGTTCTGTGCCATCCTGCACCACTTCCACCCAGAGAAAATGTGAGTCCTGGGGCTGAGGGGCAGAGCGGGGAGCCAGGGGCTGGGATAGCAGGGGGTTGTAGGTCAGGATTGAGGGGCATCAGGAGATGTGTGTGTTGTGGGGGAGGCCATGTCTTGGTATGGAGGGGGGAGTGTCTCAGAGAGGCAAGTGGGGGTGGGGTGGGGACTCAAGAGACCCCATTCACTAAGCAGGATCTATCTTTGTCGTGTCTGTCTGCCCCCCCTCCAGCAATTATGAGACCCTGGACCCTCTCGCTATCAAAGAGAATAACAAACTGGTAAGTTGGGGACCCCGGCAGGTGGTGGGGAAGGAGACTGTAAGAACATAAGACTGGTGATACTGACTCATCCCAATGGTCCATCTAGCTCAGTATCCTGTCTTCCGACAGTGACTGGTGCCAGATGCTTCACAGGGAATGAACAGAACAGGGCAATTTACCAAGTGGTCCTCCTGTGTTCAGTCCCAGCTCCTGGCTGCCAGAGGCTTAGGAACACCCAGAGAATGGGGTAGTCTCCCTGACCATCTTGAGGGACCTATCCTCCATCAGCTTATCAAATTCATTTTGAATCCAGTTATACCTTTGGCTTTCACAGCACCCCCTGGCAATGTGTTTCACGGGATGACTGTGTGTTGTGTGAAGAAGTTCTTTCTTGTGTTTCTTTTAAACGTGCAGTCTATTGATTTCATTGGGTGACCCAACCCCCTCCCAACCGTTATGTGAAGGGGTAAATAACACTTCCTTTTTCACTTTGTCCACACCAGTCATGATTGTATAGTCCTCTATCATATCCCCCTTAGTCATCTCTGTTCAAAGCTGAACAGTCCCAGTCTTTTTAATCTCTCCTCATATGGAAGCTGTTCCACCCCCCTAATCATTTTTGTTGCCTTTCTTTTTACCTTTTCCAATTCTTTTTTTTTTTTTTTTGAGATGGGGTGACGAGAACTGCATGCAGTATTCAAGGTGTGGGCATACTATGGAATTATATAGAGGCATTATGCTATTTTCTGTCTCATTATTTATCCCTTCCCTAATGATTCCCAACATTCGTTAGCTTTTTTGACTGCAGCTGCACATTGGCGGATGTTTTCAGAAAACTCTCCACACTGACTCCAAGATCTCTTTCTTAAATGGTAACAGCTAATTTAGACCCCATCATTTTGTATGTATAGTGGGGATCATGTTTTCCAATGTGCATTACTTTGCATTTATCAACATTGAATTTCATCTGCCCGTTTGTTGCCCGGACACCCAGTTTTGTGAGATCCGTTAGTAGCTCTTCGCAGTCTGCTTTAGGCTTAACTATCTTGAGTAATTTTATATTGTCTACAAACTTTGCCACTCTCACTGCTTACCCCCTTTTCCAGATTATTTATGACTATGTTGAACAGATCTTTGGGGGACCCCATTGTGACGGGATCCCCGGGGTGCAGCCTGGGACTGTGGGAGCGCTGTGCCCCCTGAACTCTCTCCAGCCTGGGTTGTCTCTCACAATGCCTTGCTAATGACCAGCAGCAAACCTCTCCAGGCACTGTTATCACTCAGCACAATCGCACGTGGAGCCCCACACCCAGCTAGATTGCATGAATCTCCCAGAGCCACTCACGAATCACACAGAGAAAGGCACCAGCCAAATCCCCCCAGCTCCCAGCACTGTACCCCAGGAATATACCGTCTTGCACTGCTCAAGATGAGCAATGCAGATTTATTAACTGGTTCACCACTTCATCAGTGGAAAGTGGATACACACCAGCCTTTGCAAAACCTGAGCAGATCTACCAAACACTTCATACAAACTCACTGGTAAAGATAAACAGTAAAACAGATTTATTGACTACAAAATATAGATTTAAAGTGATATTAAGTAATAGGCAAAAAGTCAGAGTTAGTTACCAAAAGGAATAAACTATAAGCACGCAGTCTAAACTCTCAACCCTATTAGACTGGGCAACATCTAGATTAAGCAGTTTTTCTCACCCCACTGGATATTGCAGTTCATAGTACACAGATTTCACACTTGAAATCTGGGGCAGTCCCCTCAGTTGGAGTCTTCAGTGTCCTTGTTGCTTGCAGTGTAGGTGGGTGAAGGAGAAAGGCCCAGCATGGGGCCACTGTGTTCGGTTTTATACCCTCAGTCCATGTGCTTGGAAAACACAAGTCCAGGCATGTCTGGGGGTCATTGCTGAGTCTCCAGGCAAGGCTGAGCAATTCCCCTGGTGTGGCCTCATGCAGGTGAGTCATTGAATTGTAGCTCCCTTGCTGGACAATGGTTGTAGATGGGACGTTTGGTTACTTTCCTGGCTGTTGCCTCTGGGGAGCTAATATCTGACTGAGTCCCCAATTTACAGCATGTTTTAGTGACAACCATACAACACAATTCTCATGACTTCATATACGTTAATGATATACATATATGGATAGAGAAATGACTTTCAGCAGATCATAACCTTTCCCCTGATACCTTACAAGGCATGCTTTATATGTAAGATCGTGATTATATAAAAATGAGAAATATGAGGGTTCCAGGATGCTCCCCCAAGGTATAAAATGTCACACCCACTATTTACCTCTCTCCACTGTGAAAACTGACCATCTATTCATACCCTTTGTTTTTTAACCAGTTACCAAGCCATGAGAGGACCTTCCCTCTTATCCCATGGCAGTTTATTTTGCTTAAGAGCCTTTGGTGGGGATCTTGCCAAAAACATTTTGAAAGTCCAAGTACTCTATATCCACTGGATCACCCTTGACCACATTTGTTGACCCCCCTCAAAGAATTCTAGTAGATTAGTGAGGCATGATTTCCCTTTACAAAAGTCGTGTTGACTCTTCCGCATCATATGTTAATCTATGTGTCTGATAATTCTGTTCTTTACTATAGTTTCAACCAATTTGCCTGGTTCTGGAGTTAGGCTTACTGGCCTGTAATTGCTGGGATTACTTCTGAAACCTTTTTTAAAAATCAATGTTACATTAGCTATCCTCCAGTCATCTGGTACAGAGTTGATTTAAGTGATAGGTAACATATCACAGTTAGTAGTTCTGCAATTTCATATTAGAATTCCTTCAGAACTCTTGGGTGAATACCATCTGATCCTGATGACTTATTACTGTTTAGTTTATCAGTTTGTTCCATAAACCTCCTCTATTGACACCTCAATCTGGGACAGTTCCTCAGATTTGTCACCTAAAAAGAATGGCTCAGCTGTGATGATCTTCCTCACCATGGGCGGCACGTATTTTCCTCCCCAAACAGCCCGGCGTGGCCCTGCCCATGCTCCACCCGGAAGGCCCTATCCTGTTTGCCCGTCTCCCTTGGCCCCAGCCCAGGCAGGCTGCTCGTCTTCAGGGAAGCGTGCTGGGTTGGGCTAGGGTGGCTGCAGCTGGCCTGTGGTCGGGACTTGGGGTGGCTGGGGCTGCGCTGGGGGAGGGGAGTGCATGCTGGCGCTGGGGCTGCCCGCCCTGTGCTCAGGGTGGCTGGAGGGCCATGCGTCACCCACCCAGCGTTTGGGGGCTGGGGAGGGCTGTGTGCTGCCCATGGCTGAGGGTCCATGCTCCACTGGCCTGCCCGCCTAGAGTTTGAGGGCTGTGGGGGTTGCACACTTCCCAGTGTTGAGGGGTGGGGGAGTTCCACCCGCTGCCCACCCAGCGCTCAGAGGGGCCGGGGGGGGACTGCGCGCCGCCCGTCCAGAATGCTGGGGGTGGGAGGGGCTAGCCCATGTTCCTCACATCCTCTGCTGTGAAGCCTGATGGAAAGCATTAATTTAGTTTCTCTGCATTGGCCTCGTCTGCCTTGAGTGCCCCTTTAGCACCTTGAGTGTCCAGTGGCCTCACTGATTGTTTGCCAGACTTCCTGCTTCTGATGTACTTTAAAAAAGTTGTTGTTAGTTTTTATGTCTTTTGCTAGTTGCTCTTCAAATTTTTTTTTGGCCTGACTAATTATACCTGTACACTTGACTTGCCAGAGTTTATGTTCCTTTCTATTTTCTTCAGTAGGATTTGACTTCCATATTTTAAAAGATGTCTTTTGTCTCTAACCACCTCTTTTACCCTGTTGTTTAGCTGTGGTGGCATTTTTTGGTTCTCTTGCTGTTTTTTTTTTATTTTATTTGGGATATACGTTTTGTTTGAGCCCCTATTATGGTGTTTTGAAAAAAAATCCATGCAGCTTGCAGGCATTTCATTCTTGTGACTGTTCCTTTTAATTTCCATTTAACTAGCCTAATTTTTGTGTAGTTCCCCTTTTGAAATTAAATGCTACTGTGGTGGGTTTCTTTTGTATTCCACCCCCCCTCCAAGGATGTTAAATTTAAATATATTATGGTCACTATTACCAAGTTGTCCAGCTATATTCACCTCTTGCACCAGATCATGTGCACCACTTAGGACTAAATCAAGAATTGCCTCTCCCAGTGTGGGACTAGCTGCTCCAAGAAGCAGTCATTAATGGCGTCTAGAAATTTTATCTCTGCATCCCGTCCTGAGGTGACATGTTCCCAGTCAAAATGGGGATAGTTGAAATCCCCCATTATTATTGGGTTTTCTGTTGTTGTAACCTCTCTAATCTCCCTGAGCATTTCACAGTCACCATCACCTTCCTGGGCAGGTGGTCAGTATATTCCCAGTGCTATTCTCTTATTATTCAAGCATGGGATTTGCCATAGAATCTCTATGGATAGACTGTTTGGTGCATTTAAGATTTTCCCTATATTTGATTTTATGCTTTCTTTCACATATAGTGCCACCCCCCCCACCAGAACGACCTACTCTGTCATTCCTATATATTTTGTATCCTGGTATTACCGTGTCCCATTGATTATCATCATTCCACCAAGTTTCTGTGATGCCTATTATATCAGTATCCTCATTTAGTTCACTCATCTTAATGTTTAGACTTCTAGCATTTGTGTACAAGCACTTACACAATTTGTCAATATTCAGTTGCCTGCCTTCATGTGATGTAACTGAAGGGACTCTCTTTCCTTTGACTGATTCTCTTCAGTTCCTGCCTCTACTTTATCAACTTCTATTTTCTCCTCCGTACTAGGACATAGAGAATCTCCATTCATAGATCCTCCCCTAAGGGATGTGTCTGTCCGAACCCCGTGCTCCTCCACACTGGTCAGCTTTCCCCCAGCCCTTAGTTTAAAAACTCCTCTTCCACCTTTTTAATTTTACATGCCTGCAGTCTGGTTCCATTTTGATGTAGGTGGAGCCCATCCTTCCTGTATAGGCTCCTCCTTTCCCAAAAGGTTCCCCAGTTCCATATAAACCTAACCCCCTCCTCCCTACACCATTGTCTCATCCACGCATTGAGACCCTGCAGTTCTGCCTGTCTAACTGGCCCTGCGCGTGGAACTGGAAGCATTTCAGAGAATGCTACCTTGGAGGTCCTGGACTTTAATCTCTTATCTAGCAGCCTAAATTAGGCCTCCCAGGCTTCTCTCCTATCCTTCCCTATGTCATTGGTACCTACATGTACCATGACCACCGGCTCTTCCCCAGCACTGCACATGAGTCTGTCTGGATGTCTCAAGAGGTCCGCAACCTTCACACCTAGCAGCCAATTCACCGTAGAATCCAGGTCATCTAGTCTAACCCCCTGCCAAGATGCAGGATTTGTTGTGTCTAAACCATCCACAACAGACGGCTATCCAGCCTCCTTTTGAAAACCTCCAGCGAAGGAGTTTCCACACCCTCTGGAGGTGACTGTTCCATTGTCCTATTGTTCTTACAGTTAGGAAGTTTTTCCTGAGGTTTAATTGAAATCTGCTATGCTGTAGTTTGAACCCTTTGCCTCTTGTCCTACCCTCTATGGCAAGAAAGAACAACTTTTCTCCATCTTTTTTAGGGCAGCCTTTCAAGTATTTGAAGACCGCCATCATGGCCTACCTCAATCTCCTCTTTTCTAAACTAAACAAACCCAGTTCCTTCAGCCTTCACTCGTATGGCTTGCATTCCATCCCTTTGATCATCTTTGTTGCTCACCTCTGGACACTCTTCCCTGTAAGCTGTGCGCATGTGCACACACACACAGATCCTAAACACCGTGCACATGGCGAAACACCGCACGCACAATAATTTGCACAGAAGCACAAAAATTTGCACAGAAGAAATTTTTTGCGCACACGGCCTGTCAAAAATTAGAGGGAACATTGCCTCTGGATCCTTTCTCCACGTCCTTTCTATACTTTGGTGACCAAAACTGGACACAGTACTCCAGCTGAGGCCTAACCAGTGCTGAGTAGAGAGGTACTATCACCTCCCATGACTTGCATGCTATGCCTCTGTTAATGCAGCCTAAAATTGCATTTGCTTTTTTTGCAACAGCATCGCATTGCTGACTCGCGTTGAGGTTGTGATCCACCACAACTCCCAGATCCTGCCAAGCCAGTTATCCCCCATTTTGTATTTGTTCATTTGGTTTTTCTTCCCTAAATGTAGTACCTTACATTTGTCGTTGTTGAATTTCATTTTGTTCTCTATATCCCAGTTGTCCAATTTATCAAGATCCCTCTGAGTCTTAGCTCTATCCTCCAAAGTATTGGCAATCCCCCCCGTCCCCCTTTTTGTCATCTGCAAGTCTGATCAGTATGCTCTCTATTCCTACATCCCTGGTCATTAATAAAGATGTTAAACTATACCGGGCCCAGAACAGCAATCTGTGGAACCCCACTTGAGACCTTCCTCCAGTCCGACATCATCCCATCCATAGTTACTCTTTGTTTGCATTTTTTTACCCAATTATGTATCCACTTAATGGTAGTTCCGCCGAGCCCGCATTTCTACAGCTTATCTATCAGAATGTCCTGTGGGACTGTGTCAAAAGCCTTGTTGAAGTCCAGGTATATTATGTCTACCACATCCCCCACGTCCACCAAATCAGTTACCCCGTCAAAGCAGGAAATGAAGCTGGTTTGGCATGATTTGTTCTTGGTAAATCCTTGCTGGCTGCTAGTGATCACCCCTTCATCCTCCAGGTACTCGCAAATTGAATGTTTTATACATTGCTCTAGTAGCTCTCAGGTATTGATGACTGGTCTGTAGTTCCCCAGCTCCTCCTTTTTCCCCTTTCTACGTTAGCCCTTCTGTCTTCCAGGACCTCTCCTGTCATCCATGAGTTTGCAAATATTATTGCCAGTGGCACCAAGATTTCTTCAGCTAATTCCTTCCGTACTCTGGGGCGAATAGCATCCGCCCCCGTTGATTTGAATTCAGCCAAATGTGGTTCTCCTAGTCATCACAGAGCCAGCCATCTATATTTCTAATAATCAAATCCCCAGTTACTATTACCTGGCTCTTCCTATGAACCTGGCTCTTCCGCTCCCTTGGAGAAGATCTGGGTTGGGGAGACTCCCTCCCCCTGGGTTAGGAACTCCCCACCATGGGATGGAATGCAAGCCATATGAGTGAAGGCTAAAGGAGCTGTGTATGTTTAGTTTAGAAAAGAGGCGATTGAGGGGGGACATGATGGGAGTATAGGCTGCATGTGGCTGGTGATCAGAGCACACGGGGGCTGGGGGGATGACCATGGGGCATCAGGACTCCTGGGTCCTATCCCTAATTCAGGGACGGGGCTGGATATTGGGGTTAGTCACACACCCCGGTTTGTCCCCTCCCCCCAGGCCTACGACGGCTTTGCCTCCCTGGGCATCTCGCGGGTGCTGGAGCCGGCCGACATGGTGTTCCTGACTGTGCCTGACAAGCTCATTGTCATGACCTACCTGTGCCAAATCCGGGCCTTCTTCACGGGCCAGGAGCTGAACGTGGTGCAGATCGCCAACCACAGCAGCCAGAGCACCTACAAGGTGGGCAAGTTCGACTCGGACCCCACCTTCTCCATTGACCCCGCCCGCTTCTATGCCGAGCGCTTCCAAGGTGCCGCAAGGGGACCTGAGGAGCCTGGGAGCACTGCCCCTGCTGCAAGGGATGATGGGAAGGCAGCAGCCAATAAAATTGTGACAGGAGGAGCTGAATTGGCCAAGAAACTGGAGGCAGAACGCACTGCCCTAAAGGATGCTGGGACTGATGCCAAGACAGGTGATGCAAAGGATGCTGGGAAAGTGACTGTAAATGGTGCCATATCCCAAACAGCTGTGCAATCAGAGGTGGAGCCCTCTGTCACAAAGGATGCTGGGAAGGTGCCAATCAATGGTGCGACAACCAAGCCAGCCATGAGTCCAGAGGCAGAGACACCCACCCCAAAGGATGGAGGGAGCAAAGCCGCAAAGGATGCTGGGAAAGCATTGGTCAATGGTGCAATGTCCCAATCGGCCAAGAAACCAGAGGCAGAGCCTCTTGCCCCAGAGGATGCTGGGAAGGTGCCAGCCAATGGTGACGAGAAGCTGGTGCCCCCTCCACGGCTGAAGCGTCAGTCTGTACGGAACGGGGAGGCACCGGACCAGGCCGAGCGATCCCTGCAGCGCTCGCTGTCCACTGGCAGCCAGGGCCCTGTGGCCCCACCACGCTCCCATGGCAGCAAGTCGGGCTTCTCCCACGTGCGTGATGCAGACCTGCTCAAGAAGCGGCGCTCGCGGCTCAAGAGCGAGTCACTGTCGATGGATGAGGGGGAGGCAGGCAGCCCCCCAGGGGAGACACCACGGAGGAGGCCTGATTGGCTAGGAACGGTGAGTGGGGAATGGGAAGGGGCTCAGTTATTGCAGGGTTTCTCCAGGGCACTGCTTTGTTGTTGTAGGGTCTGCATGCACTTGTTTGTTATGGTAGAGTCTCCCAGGAGCACTAGTTTGTTGTTATAGGGTAGCTCATAAACAGCATACATAGTCCTAGTATTTATGAAAGACTCTCCCTCCAGGGATACTCTAATAGCAACCTAGCGCATGCAGCCCCATGAGTCCTTACAGTAACAAATTAACATGTACAACCCTAGCAATTTATTATTATAGGGTCTCTTGGGGCTGCATGCACAAGTTTGTTATTGTAGGTTCTCTTGGGAGCATTGGTTTGTTTTTATTCATAGATTCATAGATTCTAGGACTGGAAGGAACCTCGAGAGGTCATCGAGTCCAGTCCCCTGCCCGCATGGCAGGACCAAATACTGTCTAGACCATCCCTGATAGACATTTATCTAACCTACTCTTAAATATCTCCAGAGATGGAGATTCCACAACCTCCCTAGGCAATTTATTTCAGTGTTTAACCACCCTGACAGTTAGGAACTTTTTCCTAATGTCCAACCTAGACCTACCTTGCTGCAGTTTAAGCCCATTGCTTCTTGTTCTATCCTTAGAGGCTAGGATGAACAAGTTTTTTCCCTCCTCCTTATGACACCCTTTTAGATACCTGAAAACTGCTATCATGTCTCCTCTCAATCTTCTCTTTTCCAAACTAAACAAACCCAATTCTTTCAGCCTTCCTTAATAGGTCATGTTCTCAAGACCTTTAATCATTCTTGTTGCTCTTCTCTGGACCCTTTCCAATTTCTCCACATCTTTCTTGAAATGCGGTGCCCAGAACTGGACACAATACTCCAGCTGAGGCCTAACCAGAACAGAGTAGAGCGGGTGTCTCATAAATACTACGGCTGTGCATGCTGGTTTGTTATTGTAGGGTCTCTTGGGGGCACTGGGGTTGTGCTGTGCAATTTGTTATTGTAGAATCTCTTGCGGCTGCATAGACTGGTTTGTTACGGTAGGGTCTCATGGGAGCTGGTTTATAACGTCCCCTATCCCTTTTCTCCACCAGGATGACCGTGAAGGCATGATGACCCCCAAGGCAGGACCCCCTGCCTCCGCCAGGACTCAGCAGCCCCCAGGTGAGCCTGGGTTTTCTGTAGGGTCTGCCTTATTTAGCAGCATCAGGTTTTGGGGCAAAGGGGCAAGATGGATCCTTAAGGGGGAGCAGAATGGTTGTGTTAATTTTGACACACTGCAGGCCCAGAATGTCCAAGGTGTTAGCAGATCCCTGTCGCTGCACAACACTAAAGTGCTAACCCAGGCTCAGGGCGTGGAATTTGGAGACCTCAGCCTGCTTATTCCCAGGGCAAATACTCCATTAAAAATCCCTTTAACCTTGTATTAAAAAGACAGAAAAAGAAGGGGCTGGAGAGTTACCGGGGTGGGGTCCCACAAAATGGGGTGAGTGGGCGACAAAATGGCAGACGAAATTCAGCATTGATAAGTGCAAGGTAATGCACACGCAAAAATAACCCCAAGTTCTCATGTCTAACAGTGGGGGTCTAAATTAGCTGTTACCCCCAAGAAAGAGATCTTGGAGTCATTGTGAAGAGTTCTCTGAAAACTTCAGCTCAGTACACAGCAACGGCCAAAAAGGCTAACGGGCTGTTTGGAATCATTAGGAAAGGGATAGAAAATATCATACTGCCACTATACAAATCCATGGTACGTCCACACCTTGAATAGTGTGTCGGGTTCTGGTGTCAAAAACGATAGAGTGCCACTGGAGGGCTGGAAAGATGATCAAAGGGACAGAACAGCTTCCATACGGAGGAGAGGCTACAAAGATAAGGGCTGTTCAGCTTGGAAAAGAGACAACTAAGGGGGGATAGGATAGAGGTCTAGACAATCATGCATGGTGAGGGAAAAGTGACTTGAGAAGTTTTATTTACCCTTTCCTTAAATACAGAAATGGGGTCACCTGATGAAATTGATAGGCAACAGGTTTAATACAGCCAAGAGGAAATACTTTCTTACACAATGCACAATTAACCAGTGGAACTCATTGTCGTGGGATGTTCTGATGGTCAAATATAGATCCATATTAAAAAACGAACTAGATAGTTCATGGAGGATGGGTCCATCAATGGCTACTAGCCAGGATGGTCAGGACTCAACCCCCTGTTCGGGGCAACCCTAAACCTCTGCTGGTAGCGGCTGGGATTCAGCTGGAGCCGGCAGAGATGGCGACATCAGCTGGGTCCCTCTCTCTGGCCCCAAGCATCCCTCAGGATTAGGGTGAAGGAGGCACCATGGTGTTGTGCTGCCTCCTCCAGTCCCAGGAGCCCGTGGGGGTGGCAGCCATGGTGGGGAAACTTGCTTCTCCTTCCTGGCCACTGTCACCCAACCAGCTGGCCTCCGATCCCCTCTGTGTTTTGGCCACCGGTTAGGCCTGATTTCCAACACCCCAATGTTGGCCCATTGATTTCTGGGCCCACACTCCTCATTTGCCAGACACAATTACCATACAGTAGCTGCCCTCTGCCCCTCAGCAGCTATTGTTCACACCCCAATAATTACCAGGGCCGGCTTGGGGCGGCACCTGGTAAGGGGCGGCCAATCTTGGGGTGGCAGGGGGCGCTCAGGGTTTTTTGTTTTTTGGGGAGGGTTCGGTTGGGCGGCGCTGGGGGTGGGGTGGGTTGTTTTTGTTTTGGTGGCTGGGAGGGGGGGATTCGGCAGCGGCACTCGGGGGGGTGTGGCGGCGCGGCGGGGCGCTCCGTGGGGCGGGGGGTTGTTAGGCAGCGCGGCTCGGCGGTGCGGGTGTTTAGCGGCGCTCGGCAGGAGGTGTGTGTGGCGGCGGGAGGGTTCGGCGGCGCTCCGCGGGCGGGGGTGTGTGTTCAATGGCGCTCGGCGGCGCTCTGCAGGGGGCTGGGGGGTTCGGCAGGGGCGTTCGGCGGCGCTCTGCGGGAGGTGTGCGTGGTGGCGGGAGGGTTCGGCAGCGCGGCGCTCTGCGGGGGGCTTGTGTGTTCGGCGGCGCAGCACTCCGCGGGGGGCTGAGGGGGTTTGGCAGCGCAGCGCTCCGCAGGGGGCTGGGGGGGTTCGGTGGCGCTCCGCGGGGGGCTGGGGAGTTCAGCAGGAGGGTTCGGTGGCGTGGTACTCCACAGGGGGCTGGAGGGGTTCGGCGGCGTGGCGCTGGGGGGGTTTGGCGGTGCGGTGCTCCACGCGGGGGGGGGTGGCATGGTGCTGGGGGGGGTGTTATGGCGGCGCTATGGAGGGCGGCACTCTTTTTTTTTGCTTGGGGTGGCAAAAAAGTTAGAGTCGGCCCTGATAATTACAACAGGGCCTCCACCACCAGTGGGGGGCTGGGGAATGGGGTTTAACTGCCTCTCGTGACCCCAATCTAATTGCCTCTCTCTGTCTTCTCCCCCACCAGAGATAGCCCCCTCCTCCAGTGCTAGCACCCAGGAGCCGTCCCGGGATCCCAGCAAGGAAACCAGCACCGCAGAGGAGGAGGTTCCGGTAAGGATGGGTAATTGGGGGGAGGTGGTGGCAGGGACTGGGACACAGGGCCTTTCCCCTCGAGGGGGCGCTGGGTCTGACCTCCTGCCTCCCTGGCAGCGGTTCCAAGACACCAGCCAGTACGTGGTGGCCGAGCTGCAGGCGCTGGAGAATGAGCAGAAGCAGATTGACGCCCGGGCAGCCGTGGTGGAGAAGGATCTGCGCTTCCTCATGGAGTCAGGTGCTGCACCGGGACACACACAACAGCCCTGTGGGCGCTGGGACTAGTGATCATCAGGCGCTGTCCTGTGCCCTCACCCCTTCCAGAATTGTGGCCTCTTAGTACCACCTGCTGGCGGCTTCTGGAACTGCTCAGGACCCCTTGGTGATGGAGTTATGGCGTGGGAGCCCCGCATGGGGTGGGAGGGGAGAATGTGCTCTGTATGGATGTCCTATCATCTGTGTTGCTGCCTTGCCACCCCCAGCTGGGCTTGAAGGGAGCAGGCAGTTAACAGGGGTGAAGAGAAGTTGGGGAACGCGCCAGAGGATGACCCCATCCCATCACTGGGCCATGCTCACCTCCCTACCACCACCACTCACTGCTGCACTACCACACAGGTGCAAATGACACTTGTTGGTTCCTGCAGTGTACTCACACCCCACTCCTCTCCCACCCGCCATTGCAGGCACAAACCGGGCCCAGGAGGAGGAGCTGATCCAGGAGTGGTTCACACTGGTCAATAAGAAGAATGCACTGATCCGGCGCCAGGACCAGCTGCAGCTGCTGTGAGTGACCCTGGGGGGAGGGTGGTGGCTGGGCTTTTGGTGATCATCCAAACCATGCGGGGGGGAGGAGAGAATGTGTAACCTTGGGACTGACATGCCCCCCCCCATTTTCTCCTCCTCCTCCCCCCAGGATGGAAGAACAGGACCTGGAAAGACGATTTGAGCTACTGAGCCGGGAGTTGAGAGCCATGTTAGCTACTGAAGGTGAGGGCTGGGCCCCTGAGAGCAAAGGGGACTGGGAGTCTGTGGAAGGGACGGGGGACTCTTGTTCTGGGTTCTCAGCTGAGATGTCTCTCCAACCCCTGCAGACTGTCTCAAGACAGAAGCCCAGCAGAGGCGGGAGCAGCTCCTATTGGAGGAACTGGTGTCGCTGGTGAACCAGCGGGATGAGCTGGTGCGAGACCTGGACATCAAGGAGAGAATGTGAGTCTGGGCATGACTTTCAGGTGCGAGGGTTGAGGTCAGGCGTGGCACCATAAGTTTTAACTTGCATTCCCCCTCCCCCCTTTCTCCTCACAGAGCCTTGGAGGAAGATGCCAGGCTGCAGCGGGGCCTGGAACTGCGACGGCGCAAATACAGCCGCAAAGATAAGTGCCGCATTAGCTAAGAGGCAAATGGCCACTCCACAGTCCTTGTCAGTGTTCTGTGGCTGGGATACTACCCAGGATGCCTGCCTGCCTCTTAAAGGGCTCCAAGGTTTGCCTGCTGCTGCTGTTACCTCAGTGCCTCACTGTATTGCCCCTTGTACATTTTGCTGGTTTCCCTTCCAGTCTGGCCCCGCTCTAGGACAGATGCAGTTTCCCAGCCTTCTCTAATGAATACCAAGGGGAGCACAGGGAGCCTGGCTGTCCCCTATGGCAGAGGGAAACAGTCTGCTGGGGGCAGGGTGGGGCTATTTATTTTTGTGTGTGTGAGAGACTTTGTTCAGCTGGGTGTCCCTTCCCCGCCCTGTCAGCTGCCATTTCACAGCCAAGTTGTCGGGGTTTTATCATGGTACAAAAAGTTGATGTGGGTTTAGGGAGGGCAGAGAACAGACGTGCCTTGACAGTGCCATCCAGCCATGTATTGTAATGGCAAGTTTCAATTCCTTGTTCCCTGGGTATTTGCACTAATTTGTAACTGTTTGAAATATGAAATAAAGAGATGTGAAAGCAAACTCATACACTGGTGCAAGTGAGTTGTGTATAACAACTGCACTCAAAAGGAGTCAAAATTTCCAGAGATCTGCTACATCGATATCGATGTAGCAAATCCTCTGATCTACACACAGTATAGTCCAGTGGCTCTCAAACTTTTTTACTGATGACCCCTTCCACACAGCAAGCCTCTGAGTGCAACCCCCCCCCTTATAAATTAAAAACACTTTTTATATATTTAACACCATTATAAATGCTGGAGGCAAAGCGGGGTTTGGGGTGAAGGTTGACAGCTCATGACCCCCCATGTAATAACCTCGCAACCCCCTGAGGAGTCCCGACCCCCAGTTTGAGAACCCCTGGTATAGTCACTCTTCTTACTACATTCTGTTGGCCACCAAGTCAACTTTGCTGTGATGCCTCCATGGATTGGGGGAGGGAGCAGGGAGACGACTAAGAACAGGCCATTTGCCCCAAGGGGTGGGTGGGAGTACACACATTTTTGGTAGCTTTAAAGAGGAGTTGGTGGCTCTGACCATTTAACTTCAGGAATAACAAGTAAATATGCTCATGCACAAATCATTGTAATTTATTTATGTAGTTTTATAACTGTGAAAAGTGATGTTAACATACAGGTGAACCCAGGAACAAATTGATAGTCGGGGGGGGCCCACTCCCCTCCCCCTTCTCAACCTTTTTCTTTTCCAACATGCTCTAAGGGCAATTGCCTGGGCACCCCCCCATGCAACAAGGGTTCTGCTAAAGCCAAAGCCTGAGCAATGTAGCTTCTGCTTCAGCTCCATGCAGTGGGGCTTTAGCTTTCTACCCTGGGCCCCAGCAAGTCTAATGCTGGCCCTGCTGGGAGGCCCTGGACCCCTGGTTGAGTACCCCTGCTCTAAGTCATCTTAAGAGACTGTGTTCTTGACACCTTTTCTCCCCAGAACAGCAATTGACCACAGGTGACCTTATGTGTGTGCCCACTGCTTGATGCCTGATACCCCTGCTGTGGGTTCTGAAACGCCCCGGCTAACAACCAGCCTCCCGCTTGGGGGATTCACTGTCTGAGCCCCAGTAAGCTTTTCAGTGAGTCACACCCAGGAAAGGCCAGAGTAACACCCGCCCCCACCATGGTAAAATGTGTTGGACGTGGGTGGGGGCTGCCCAGCTGCTGCTCCAGCGCCCGGTCCTAGAATTCAGTCTGCGCTGCATCGCCGCCCCCGCTCCCCGCGCGGGGCGCTGCTCGCGCGCGCTGCTCACGCTTCGCCTTTGGCTCCAGGTGCAGCAGTAACCTCTCCTCGCTCGCGCGTAGGCCGCTTCCGGGCTTATACCCCACCCCATTGGCCGCCGCCCCGACCAGTACGAGCTGAGTCGCCATCTGGCTCTACGGGTGGGCGGGGGTCTGTTTCTAAGAGCGCATGCGCCGGGCCTCGGTTTTTTTCAGGGCGCATGCGCCGGGCCTCGGTTTTTCAGGGCGCATGCGCCGCTTCGGCCGTCAGGCGGCGGTCGCAGGGGACGGAATCCCCAGGGTGGAGCCCAGCGCCTGGTGCTAGCAGGGCTGGCATGATCCATTCCCCCATGGGGGGCACTAGGGAGGCCAGGACCCCCCCCCCGCCTTTTGTTACAGCCTCTCCCCCCTTCGGTCCGGGGCTCAGAACTGCCTGGCTTCGTTCTCCCCCTTGTGCCCAGGGAGCTGTTGGGCCTGCCCCCGGAGCAAGGTTAGTGGAGCCAGCGAGTCAGCCCGCCCCGCAGGGCAGATCCCAGCCTCGAGGATTCACCCTGGGAAGAGATTTCCAACGCACAGGGGCTCAGGAATCTCTCGGGGGGAGGGCAAGAGGTTTAGCAGGGAGGCAGAATGGCTGCAGGGATCCTCCAGCCCGTGCCCAGCACGGGGTGCAGCTGGGGCTCGGAATGGGCACCCCCAGCCCTGCAGTCCCTCCTTGCATTAGAGACAAACAGCTCCATCACGTCTGACCTTGGAAATAGACGAGCAGGAGCCTTTAGCCTAAATAATTTTACACACTTACGCTGGAATATCTTGAATTTACCAGCATTCTTAGAGCAGTACACCCTCCCCTCCCCCTCATGCAGTAATGAATCAAACATACCTCAGGGCAGATATTGTCCCCATTTTACAGATAGGGAAACAGAGGTGGTTTATTCAAAGGCCCACAGGGATGAAGGACAGGACCCATGAGTCCTGGCTCCCAGTCCTCTCTTCCTATTGAGAGACAGAGGTGAAAAGCCCCCTACCCCCGCCATAGATTGGGATGTGAAGGAATATACCATCACTCTCCCCAGAAGACATCTGCAGCCGCTACAATAAAAAATACTAAATCCAGCAAAAACAGTCTCAAAGACACAACAGCCTTATCACAACAGCCCCAGAGAGCATCACTGGCAGATGGCTTCTTATTGCTGTCACAAAGGCTTTTATACAGGATCCTTTCCCATCATGCTCAGAGGCACAACTAAGCCCGCCTCAAACAATCCTGATGGGCAGGGACCCAAGTGAATTGCAGCAGCCCAGGCATGTCTCCCTGTGTCAGAACCCAGTAAGGGTGGGGCTAGGGGAAGGGCTGAGATGGAAGATTTTCTGACCCCCCCACCCCCAAAGTCACTCTGAAAACTGAAGAATGCCTTTTACAGGGGGAGAAGACATGCAAAGTAGGGAAACGAGGAGTAAAAGCAAAGTCATCTGATGATAATACCAGCAAAAAACAAAGCTGAGGAAGGAAATAAACCAAAAATGTTATAATGACAAGATCCCTAGCCAAAGCAATATGATTGGGTAACATTAACCCAGTAAAAGTACTGAAGAAAGCATAGGAGATATAGTAGGAGCCAGGTTACAAGGTGGGGGAATCTTTTAGCTGAATGTAAAACCAAAGAGCAGATTGGTAAAAAAAAAACCTGAAACACTTGGGAAAGTTACAGTAAGCTGCCAGGTACCAGGGTATTTGACTGAGGGCTAGTCTACATTGGCAATGCTTTAATGTGCCTTGTGTGGTCATGCTCTCCCAGTGCTCTAAAAAAACCACCTCAACAAGGGGCGTAGCTCCCAGCGCTGGGGTACTGTTTACACTGGTTCTTTACAGCGCTGCAACTTGCTGCGCTCAGGGGGGTGTTTTTTACACCCTGAGCGAAAAAGTTGCAGCGCTGTTAATTGCCAGTGTAGAGAAGCCCTGAGACAAAGGAGGTGCTACCTGACGTGCCATTAGAACTGACCAATGTGGCGATAAAAGTTAATTAGCAGAGGAGACAGCAAGTCATCAACAGCAGTGCTGATTACATTTAAGGGCAGGCATCTACCTGAGAAAATAACACTAGGGTTTCAGATCTCTAGAACCAAGCCATATATTCTCCCCTCCCCTAAGATGTTATATGTGCCAATGGGGTGAGCATGTAGCAAATGTTTGGCAAGGGAAAACGAGGGATGGTCAAGGTAGGGGCCAGCATGCCTATGACAGTTGCACAGAAATGGCAGAGGCTGAGTGTACTGCCGTGGTAATCACAGTCTGGCAGATAGAAGGTGTATTGCAGCAAAACAAGCTAAGGAGACACAAAAGCCAAAAGTTGTAAATAACATAGCTCTATGTGGAAGCTGTAAGGAGGCTCTTAAAACATCAGGTGGAGCAGGGAGAGAGAATCAGCACAGGACAAGGGGTACTGCGACATAGCCTCCCTCTATAAAAATAGAACACACACTGCTCAAGGAATAGGTGATGATATACTAGTAGTGAAAAAAGAAAGGGTTGCTGCATTTATGATAAAAGTGAGAAACTGCACATCATAAATGGGGGGTGGTGTCAGAAAAAAATCAAATTACAGCAAGGACCATGGAAAACTACTGGAGTGTTAGCAATTTGTTAGTGGACCGTATTCATGCAATTTTGAATGAGGTTAATGGTGAAATACGACTTGTATGGGGATCACAATCTTTGGTTGGAGTGCGCACAGTTTGATAGCACGGGGTCAAGAACTAAAAGAAAATAGCCAGGAAATGAAACTAACCTAGATGTCCAGTGTATCCAGGTGGTTAGTTAAATAGCTTGCTTTTAAAATCCCAAGCTATATTGCCGTTAGACAAGACCAAAAACTAGGGAGAGGAAGAGGTGTTTGTACTTTCATAAGGGAAAGATTACACTACATAGCAGCAGAGAAAGAGGTAAGTCTCAAATACAATGATGTTGAGATCCCAGTGCAGAAGAGAAATCTTTAAGGATTTATATTATCTTTAACCCATGTAGGAAATCAGAATGTTTGGAATGATAAGGAATAGTGAAGAATACTAAAAGACCATGTATTATATGCAGTGACCTAAATAGTCATAACTTGTGGGGAAGTAAGACAGCTGATTACAGTGGCGCACACTCGGAAAAGTTTATTGTTGAAAATGATCTAGTGGTTTTGACCAATGTTGGCCCAACTAGATTTAAGGCAGCAGATGACAGTTTTTCGTGCTTAGCCCTGGGAATTATAACAGCAGATATTGCAAATAGATGCAACTGGAAAATGTGTAAGGAAGACGGAATGGGAGTGATCATTTGCCTACACTTATTATTTTTCAAGGACAAAGTGAGTTGAAGGTAATGAAAAATGACCCACCTGGTATTTTCAGAAAGCTACCTGGGAACTATTTACAAGTAAGTTACTGATTTTGTGAATGTTCATTGTGTGAGTGATGACAGAGAATTTCAATGACAATGTAATAAAGGAATTATGGCTACTGTAGCTGTTGCTATTAAATAAGATATTGAAGTAAGTATCCCAAAACTAAACCCTCTCCCTCCCTCCCATGGTAGAATGAGGTGTGCAAAAATGATAGAAAGAATGGAACAAAGCTTATAAAAAAGCAAAAAAAGACAATCCATAGTAGAAATCTAACAAAGTATAAAAGTAATAAGGAAATTGTTTTTAATAATGCATTATTAAAAACAAACAACTAAAGAACAAAGATAAAGTTGGAGTCCGTGCTGTGGGCAGATAAACATACCAAGACATCAGAAACATTCAGGCAATTTAGAAGAATGACTGGAATTCAGACTAAGCCCTGGTCAGTCTACACTATAAACTTTGCTAAAACTACATTGCTCAGGAGTGTGAGAAACCCACACCCTGGAGTGACACTTATACTGACCTAACTCCCAGTGTAGACAGCGCAATGTCAGCAGGAAATCTTCTCCCATCCACATAGCTACTGCCTCTCGGGGAGGTGGATTAATTTCACTGATGGGAGAAGTTCTCCTGTCAGTGTAGTAGCGTCTTCACTGAAGCACTGCAGCATTTTCAGTGTAGACCTGCCTAAGAGTAGCCACGTCCCAGGTCGCATTGGGACTGACAAAATAGAAGTTCTGATCATGAGAAAGCAGCTAAAAACGTGGTACGAAATAGAAGGCTTGCCATAGAAATGCCCCTGAGTGAACAGGAATTCAAAAGTCTAGTACAGAAGAATGTAAAAGAGGAATGGCAAAAAAAATTGGGACTAATGAAAGAAGAGGAAGAAGATTTTTTGTTTTGTGCCCTACAGCTGAGGATAAGGACGTTCTTCAGGGCCTGACCTAGGACAATGAAGTGACAATGAAGGAGGGACTATGTACGCGCTATAGGGCAGAAGGAACTAATCATCACCTGTGATGGGTACGTAAGGGCTTTGATAAAGGCACTCTAATGTCTTAAGGTAACAAAAGTTACATTGTTATTTAGTAAAAATAGCGGGGAAATGGGGTAGTGGCAGCAAGGCGTCCTTACATTACCTGAAGGGCACAGGTCAAAGCAAGAGAGTATAAACTGACGAGTATTGAGACATCATAATTGCTGGTGGTGATAGACTATTCAGTCACGTCTGCTTCACCATTAAAAACAAAGAAGAAAGAAAGAAACCCAGTGGAGCCAGGACTCCTGGGCTCTATCCCAGCTCTGGGAGGGAAGTGGGGTTTGGGGGGCCGGAGGGACTCCGGCCTCTGACAAATGGCCCTCTCCAGAGATGATGAGTTGACATGAAATCCCCACCCCACCCTCCTGAAGGCAATGAACAGGCCCAGATACCATGGAGCTGGATGAAGGGCTGATGCTTGCCTGAGGCAGAGCTTATGCTCTAATAAATTTGCTAGTCTCTAAGGTGCCACAAGTACTCCTGTTCTTCTTTTTGAGGCAGAGCAGAGGCCATGGCTCATAGACTTTAAGGCCAGAAGGGACCAGCATGATTACCTAGTCTGATCTGCACTTTGCAGGGCACAGAATCTCACCCACCCACCCCCATCATTTGCCCCTAACCTCTGGCTAAGTTACTGACTTCAAGTTACAGAGGATCCACCATTTACTCTAGTTCAAACCAGAAAGTGACCCATGCCCCATGCTGCAGAGGAAGGAAACAAACAAAAAACAAACCCAGGGACTCTATCTGACCCAGGGGAAAATTCCTTCCTGACCCAAATCTGGCGATCAGTTAGACCCTGAGCATGCAGGCGAGACTCGCCAGACAGACACCTGGGAAAGAATTCTCTGTAGTAACTCAGAGCCCTCCCCATCTAGTGTCCCATCACCGGCCCTTGGAGAGATTTGCTAGTATCAGTCATAGAGGGTCACACGCCATTGTAGGCAGTCCCATCATACCACCCCTTCCATAAACTTAGCAAGCTTAGTCTGGAAGCCTGTTAGGTTTTTTGCCTCCACTGCTCCCCTTGGAACTTAAGGTGTGACAATGCTGCCCGTAGGGGTCAGATGAGGTCACTCAATTAGGGTGAACTGCAAACAAAATAGGGCAGACAAACCCCAAAGGCTGGTGGATATTCCAATACTTCGATTTACCAAGCCAGCACAAAACAACTTCTATATTACTTCACTGGTCACTCAGAAGTCCAAATAATGCAGTTCCCTTAAAGTGCCCAGCCTTAGGCCTCCATCCAGACACACATGTTAGATATGATAATGATTACTAAACATCTTATCTCATCATATAAAAGAAAAGGTTCTTCCAATCCCAAAGGCAGCCACACACCCAGGTCCAATTATAACTTAGATCTTACCCAAAATACATGCTTGTAGTCAATTCTTGTTAACTAAACTAAAATTTATTACAAAAGAAAAGAGAGTGTGTTGGTTAAAAGAACAATATACATACAGACTTGAATTCAATTATTGAGGTTCAGATACATAGCAGAGATGAGCTTGTAGTTGCCAAAATTCCTTTTAGAAATAGTCCTTAGGTTATAGTCCAATGTCCATATTCAGGGTGACTCCAGTCAGTGACTGGGGATCTCAATCCTTATGGCTCAGGGTTTTCCCTTCTTGAAATCCAAAGCAGATCTGAGATGAAGGAGGATCGTGTCCCAGGGCTTTTATACATTTCCAACAGCCTTTTGGCCTGAGAAAACAATAGGCTTAACTTTCCTTCTCCCAAACATCATGTCAATTAGCACAGGGTAATTTATCCATTAAACAGTTCAGATACAGGTTACCACAACCTTCAAAGAGACATATAGACAATAATACCCTATTTCACTCAAGTGTCTTCCTAAATACTGATACTCCTTTTTTGATCTTTGAATCAAAGCTATAGCAATAGACAAGACTTGTTTGCTTACATCACAAGACCTCAGCAAACATCTACCCTTCTATCTCTAACAATGCAGGCTTGCATTTCAAAGCTCTATTTGTTTACATATCTTCCTAACAAGTCTTTAAAGTTGGGTCATGTCAGTCTGTGAGTTAAACAACTCTTTCTGGCCCTGTGTCACCTTTCAATGAGATGATATATTACACTCATAATGTCACAGAAGGCTGTTCCAGAACGTCACTCCTCTGATGGTTAGAAACCTTCAACTAATTAGGAACCAAACTTGTTGATAGCCAGTTTATAGCCATTTGTTCTTGGGTCCACATTGGCACTTAAATTATTCCTCTCCCTCCTCTGATGTGTTTATAGCGAGCAATCAGATCTCCCCTCAGCTTTCATCTGGTTTCCACTGCCCCATCACACTGGCAGCTCATAGTCATCCTATGATCGACCAATACGCCCAGGTCTTTCTCCTCCTCTCTTGCTTCCAACTGAGATGTCCCCAGTTTATCGGAAAAGCTCTTGTTGCTAGTCCCTACGTGCATGGCCTTGCACTTTGCAGTATGACATTTCACCCCATTTCTGTGATTCCAGTTTTTAAGGCTGTTCAGCGACACCCCACAGCCAGAGCCCCGGGCGTAACCCAGTGCCATGGACCGACAGGATGATGCCTACAGAGAACCTGACCCCTGGGTTCTCTCCCAATGGGGATGGGCAGTGGTTAGCGGTGGGGTGTCACCCAGATGCCAGCAATAGGCTCCTGCAGGCTGATCCAGGACAGTAGGAAGGTGGCAGCAGGCTTGGTGCCAGCAGGGCAGTGGCATCGCAGGGTCACAGCTGGGGCATTGCCCGCAGATGCAGGTACCCAGCCAGTATCCAGAGCACACAGCAGTCAGCGCCCCCGCCTGCACCAGCACCTGGAGGGACAAGGCTCCAGGGAGTCCACGAGGCTGCTGGGGGTAGACCAGCTGGAATGCCACGGCTTCCTGCATCCTCATCCACCAGTGCTTCCCCTCCTGCCCCTCCCCCACTGCTTTCTACCCTCAGCCCCCACCTACCACAGCCTCTTGCCTCCCCACCCCCACTCACTCCCCTCCCATCTGCCTTCCTCCACCTCACCTGATGCTCTCTCCTCCTCCCACGTGACCCCTGCACTGACTGTCCCTCCCCATGGACCCTCAGCTTCTCCCCCCCACTCATTCCCCCCACCCCATGTCCTTTCCAAGGGATTGTCAGGGATTTGGTTAGTTTAACTCACCCCCCCCCGATTAATGTGTTAGTGAAATTACAGTGAGCATTTAGCCCAGTTTAATTCCCCCCATACACACCCCTCCCAGAGCTAGCGACAGAACCCAGGCATCCTGACTCCCAGCCACCCTGCTCTAACCCACTAGACTCCACTCCCCTTCCAGAGCTGGGAAGAACCCAGGAGTCCTGGCTGCCAGCCCTCCCTCCCGACTCTCTGGTCTCGGCTGGTGGGGGGGGCACAGCTGTGCCCAGCAGGATAGAGGAGAAGGAAGAAGCAGTTCCAGATGGTATTGAGCCATTTGTTGAAGACGGGTGTCCGTCCAAGGCAGACAGGGCAAGCTGGGCACAGTGGTTTTCCCAGACCCAGGAAAAGGGGATGCTAGCCACCATCAGGGCCCCACCCCACACCCTCCCTGTGGCCCAGGCGTACTGTCTGGAGAGGGGATCCGCAAGTGGGGGTGCTCACCTGAGAAAGGAAAGGGTGAGTGCAGCACTGCAATCTTCCTCCACAGCAGTGCCCCCAGCTGGGGACTCGGTGCTGTGAGCTTCCTCCACAGCAGTGCAACAGTTATTAAAACAACAAACCACCACAACATTGTAACTGGCATTAGGAACTTTTTACCTATTTGAACTGTTCACATCCTGGATTAGAACCCAGGAGTCCTGGCTTCCAGCACCCCCTGCTCTAACCCACTAGACCCCTTCCCTTCCAGAGCTGTACCCCTCTGGGAAGGGAATTCTCACCTTGCTGTGGCCAGGTGGGCCAGGAGGTAGGAGTGACCATAGGGCCCAGATGGTAGTCTTTGCTGCTCCCCTGGGCTGTGAGGCTGGCATTGGCCTGGCTCAGGGACAGGCACAGGGTCCAAGACTTACCACTCCTGGGCAACAGCTCTTAGCAGCTCCTGGGTAATTCCTGGTGATGGTGGGATAGGTCACAGGAGGGTGGCTTGTTTACTCTGAGGCTACTAAGTGCCTTCCCATCTCCATCCAGCCCAGTATCTCCCCCTCCCCTGCCCACTCAGGGTCACACCTGTGGGCTCTTCCATGCCAGCGTCTCCCCTCTCTTCTGCCCCAGATCCAACCCATGGGATCAGCCACCCCTGTATCCCTCTCTCCCCCAGTGAAACCAATGGGCAGGGCCACCTGGAGGGGGGGCAAGTGGGGCAATTTGCCCCAGGGGCCCCCATGAGAATATAGTATTCTACAGTATTGCAACTTTTTTTTTTAATGGAAGGGGCCCCCGAAATTGCTTTGCCCCAGCCCCACTGAATCCTCTGGGCGGCCCTGCCAATGGGATCATCCAGCCCATATTCTCCCCGTCCCGAGACAAAACAATGGTACTAGTACCAGCCTGGCACCCCACTCCACATGCCCACGGTCAGTGTCTATTCTGTACAGCTTCATTTATTGATGCATGAAAGGAGGTGTGTGTGTGTGGGGGGAGGGGGGGACACAACACATTGTCCATGGGGGTTATCCAGAGGGGCCATCATGGGGTGCCGCTCTCCCATCTGCCTCGCTGTCCGCTTGGCTCCCAGAGGGGGTGGCCCCGCAGACAGTAGCCAGGCCCAGCTGGTCACAGCTCAGGATCTCCAGCTGGTCATCGTCCTCACTAGAGGGGGAGGCAGGGGCCCGTGGGGGGGCAAAGAATCGGACAAGACTGTGGATCTCGCGCAGCTCATAGATGGTCTCCAGGGCCAGCAGCATGGCCAGGAGCCCCAGGAGAAGATAACCTGTGGGGGAGAGATGAGGATCAGGGGTCTGAGATGGGATTTCTCCCCTTTCCGCTGCAGCACAGCATCCCCATAGAGCCCCACCCCCTCCCTGCACCACAGTGCCCCCTACAGAGCCCCCACCCTGCTCCCTGCACCACAACGCCCCCTATTGACCCCACTCTGCTCCCTGCAGCACAGCGCCCCCTACTGACTTCCCACCCCTTCCTTGCAGCACAGCGCCCCCTACTGAGGCCACCCACCTCCATCCCTGCAACACAGGGCCCTCTTGTGCTGCAGGGAGCCAGTCCCCCCATGCCCTGCAGCACAAGCGTCCCCTAGTGACCACCTGGAGAATGGCTCACAGGTGATGCTGATTTTGTAGAGATGGCGCAGCGAGGAGGGGCTGCCACGACCTGGCACGTAGTCCCCAAGCCCAATGGTGCTGAGTGAGATGAAGCAGAAGTAGACGGACTCCAGGAAGGTCCAGCCGTTCTCCAGGGCCCAGAAGCAGAGGGCTGGCAGCAGGATAAAAAGACCCAGTACACTCAGTCCCATGGCAGCTGCGTGTCCCAGTGCTGCATGGCCTGGAGAGATGCCCCAGTGGGTGTGAAGATACTGAACGGGCCGGTGGCTCAGCAGCCCCATGAGTCGCTGCAGGAGACAAGTGGCCAGGAGCAGGGTGGCTGGGAGTCCCAGCAGGGTGTAGAAGATGCAGAAAACCTTCCCCCCATCTGACAGGGGCACCGTATGGCCATAGCCTGGGGGGAGAGAGTCAGTGGGGAGGAGAAGGGGGAGGGGGCGGTGCCCCTCACTCCCAACCCGTAGTTTACCGCTATCCCAGCTCTGCCCACCATACCCCACCCTAGCTCTAACAGTGCCACTCACTCCTGACCTGCAGCCCCCTACCCTACCCTCCCCTCCGAGTGCTTGGCTCCCTTCACTCCCCCCCCACCAGTGCCCCTCACTCGCAACCCGCAGCCCCCCGCCCTCCCAGCCCTGGCCTCTCTTCACCCCCCGCCGGTGCCCCTCACTCCCAACCCGCAGCCCCCCGCCCTCGGCTCCCTTCACCCCCCCCGCCAGTGCCCCTCACTCCCAACCCACAGCCCCCCGCCCTCCCAGCCCTGGGCTCTCTTCACCCCTCCTGCCGGTGCCCCTCACTCCCAACCCGCAGCCCCCCGCCCTCGGCTCTCTTCACCCCCCCAACCCCTGCCGGTGCCCCTCACTCCCAACCCGCAGCCCCCCGCCCTCCCAGACCTGGGCTCTCTTCACCCCCCCCGCCGGTGCCCCTCACTCCCAACCCGCAGCCCCCCCACCCTCCCAGCTGCCAGCTCCCCCCGCCCCGCCCCGCCCCTACCCGTGGTGGTGAGGACACTGGCGGAGAAGAACAGCGCCGAGCTGAAGTCCCAGTTCTCGTCGTCGGAGACGTTGCCCAGCGCGGAGATCCCGTAGCTATCGGCGTCCAGCACCCGCTCCAGCAGCCGCTCCAGGCCGGGCTCCGACAGGCAGCTCTGGTGCTGGCGCACGAAGCCGGCCCTGGCGCCCCGCAGCGCCTCCCGGAGCCCGGCCTCCTGCGGCGCCTCGATGCCCACGAAGACGGCGGTGCCGAGCAGCAGGAAGAGCCCATAGGAGCCCAGCAGCAGCCAGTAGCGCCAGGACTGGGGCACCGCGGGCAGCTCCATGGGGCCGGCCGGGCCGGGCACGGGGGACTGGGGCAGCGGCCAGGGCCGGGCTGCTGCTTCCTGGCCGGGCCACACCTGCCGCAGGTGGAGCTGGCTGGGCCCCGGGCCAGGCAGGTGCAGCCGGTTCCTGGTGCTGCTGAGCTGGTGGTGTTAACCCTTCCGGCGCCGGCCTGGCCCGGATCTGGCCCGGGAGTCCAGCTCGGCTCCCCCAGGGCTCTGCGGAAACCCGCAGAATGGACCCTGCAGGAGAATCGACTCCCTCAGCCGTGCGCAGGGAGGGCCCTGAACCCGGAGAAACAGCCCAGTGGGGAGGGTGCGAGGCTGGGAGCCAGGACTGGGCTCTATCCTAGGGAGGGGAGTGGGGGTCTAGTGGTTAGAGCAGGCGGTTGAGAGCCAGGACACCAGGGTTCTACTCCTAGCTCTGCTGCTGACCTTGGACAAGTGTCTTCCCCACATAGTGCCTCAGTTTCTCCTCCCATCCTGTGTCTAATCAGAGCGTGAGTTGTACAGGACAGAGGCTGTTTCTCCCTGTGGATCTCTGCAGCAATGGGGGCCCCAATTTCTGCCAGGTGCTGCACAGACCCACAGGGAGAGGCAGACCCTGACCTGAACAATCCCAGTCAGATTAGACAAAGACAGGATCATTCCCTATTTTACCGATGGGTAGGGTTGCCAGCCCTACCAGAATTGGCATTGGCATCGATCTCCCGGTAACTATTGAAAGCAATCCGGAGATTTTAATAGGTACGGTACAATTAATGACATTACATCATGTTGGGGGGAGGGGAAATCTCCCGGAATAGCTTCAGTCAGAATTGGCAACCCTGCAGATGGGGGAAACTGTGGTGCAGGGGAGAGGCAGGTACCCACCCATGATCCTGCATGGCATCTGCAGCAGAGATGGGATGTGAACCCAGATGTGCTGATGCAGCCCCCCCCCCACAAAACCCTTCTCCCCTCCCCCATTACAGGCAAGGTTCTTCTGCACAAAATATCCAGCAAATCTCAGAGATCCCAGTGTACAAAGGGTTAACCCCTGAGCGCTCCAAAGCGGGTGGGGAGGACTGACTGGGGGAGGGAGGGTCTGCTCCCAGCAGCTGCATGGGAGTGACAGGAGGTCAGGGCAGGCATGTGTCTGGCTAGGCTATTGAAAGTGGCTGGGATTGGGGAGGGGGGTCAGTGGGGCATGAAACCGCCCTCCGCCCCCAGGGACTGGAAGTGTGTGTGGGTATACAATTGAAACCAACAGTGACCCCCTCCACACACACATACCAGCTGGGATCTTTTGCAATAATCGTTGGCAAAGCAGCTGGTCTCTTTGGGCAGCTGTTCAATGGGGAAGACCAGCACTCCAGGGGCAAAATGAATGGGTGCAGGGATCTCATTCTGTCTCCTAGAGCAGCCATGCCCCTCCCCTGCCCCCAGGGCCATTGCCCCACACCAGGGACCTCTGGTCACACGCAGAGGCCACTTGTGCAGACAGAAAGAGTGTGGCCAAGCTGTGAGCATTCACAGGTGTTTTGCACCAGGCCTGGGGTGATCAGACCAATGGGCCCATCTAGCCCGGTATCGTGGCTGCTGGATTCAGAAACCTGGCAGCTCTGGGATAATTTAGCCCCACGTAAAGGTTCCGCCAGATTCCAGGAAACTGAGGCATGGTTCTCTGTTGCTGAAGCTTAGACCCCAACCAAAACTGTGGGAAACTGAAGTATAGTATATATTGCTGTAGCTAAAATCTCAGCCAAAGCCCAGGACTGGAGGAACCTTTTCCTAGGGACAAATTATCCCATAGCTGAGGGGGTTTTAAGCCAGCCACAGGACCGGACTAGATGGAACCACTGATTATTTTTTACCTCATCTAACTCTGGATATGGTGGCTATATTCCCCGCCCCCCCTCTTTTTTTTTTTTTGTAATAAGGCTGAATGGAAATCTAGTTGCAATGAGTCCCACAGGCAAAAGGTGTATGTTTTGGCAGGTGGGAGGATTTCTCGCAGGGCAGTGCAGAAACAAGAGGTGAAGATTAATAAGATAATTGTGAACCAATAATGAACTGAGAATGAGGAAATGATCCCTCCCTGGAATGCTGTGCTGGAGAATCCAGATATGAAGTAACAAGGAACTGAAAGAATATTGTAATGAAGTAAATACAATAACAACCACACAATATTGTTAATTAATATAATTAAATAATTAATCAAGGTATTAATAAAATAATGATTAAATTATTAACCCACGACAAATCATACATAATACAATTTACACATAAATATAATTAAACAAAGAATTAATATAACAGTAAAATAATACATAAAAACATTATTAACAAAATAAACAATGATAGTCTCAATTACTAGTTATAAAATTAATGAAATACATTGATACTATTTTGCAATCAAGTTAATCATAAAATAAAGCTATTTTATTAATTATAATAATTATGTTATATTAACAAAATTATATTAAAATATAGCAAACACAAACAAAATAGAACATTAAAACATAATAAAATACAACAACATTAAATGATAAGCCAACAATAAAATAATGTTAATATTTAATAATTATAAAATGTATAACATAAATTTATAATTATTGCTATAAAATTAATACAATAAAATAATCATACCAATTAAATATATCAATAAATATAATCAATGAAAGAAAAACACTACTAATAAAATATAACTAATTAATTATAAAACAATATAATAATCAGATAAAATTAAATGATAAAATTGAATGAAATATAATGCACAATATAATCAATAAAATAACAAAAATAATTAATCCATGATCGCAATAGTTAATAAAATGTGATATATACAAGAATAAAATCAATAAGATATATTTTAAAATCAGTTAATGAAATAAATAAGAAACATTAACTACAACAGGGAAAGCAATAGAAAATATGTGAAAAAATAAAAATGAAATTAACCCAATAAAAAGGAAATGCATAAGAAGAAGAAACAAAATAGAGGAGGACAATAAAGTGGAGAGAGAATACATTTTTAAAAAGTCAGTAAAGACAAATTTAATGTTAAGAAACCATAAACAATTCATAAGTATAACAAAGAGCTCATACAGTGTACATTTAAAAATAAATTATTAATGTAAAACATGATGACAAACAGTACTAATATGACTGACTGTGTGGATGAATAAATTAGAACACATAGATACTAGACTGCAGGGGAGAAGCCTACACCCTGGTTTGGGGTTGTGTGGGGGAGACTGTAGGGGGATGATTCTGCACTCAGAGTGTGCAGAGGAAATAAACCTTAAGGGGCGATCCTGCCGTGCAGGCTGTGGGGGCTGGGTGGAACCTGGGTTTGATACAACCCTGATATATACGCCCCCACGCCTGCCTGCCTGATCCCCTTTAGCAACGGAACCAGAGCTCCCTCCTTCCCCTGTGCATCTCAGGGGTGCAGTGAAGGGTTAATTCCTCCCCTCCACCCTGCTCTTGCCCCACAGCCCAGCTCCAGTGTGAATTCTCTGTCTGGGGGATGACTCATTGGAACCCCCCCAGCACGTGCTGTGCCTATAATGGGGGTCCTTTTGTGTCTGGTGCAGGCAGGGATCACGTGTGGGGGCACCTGCCATCTGCCACTGCCCCCCACTCCCTGGGGACCCCCTAACCCTGCTGCCAGCCCCACGGCCATTGGCTTCCCCAGCCCAACCATCTGGAGCTGTGGGTCTGCACAATAGGGGCGGGGGCTTTATATACAGGGCTGGGGCATATAGGACGCACAGACTGAAGGGAGTGGGGACAACGCTGAGGTCCAGTCAGGCCGAGGAAGACCCCAGAACTGGCACAAAGGCTGGACAGATCAAAGGAGCCCCAGAACCAGCACTGAGGTGTGGACGGACTGAGGGAGCCACTAGAATCAGCACCGAGGTGCGGACGGGCCGACGGAGCCCCCAGAACTGGCACTGTGGTGCGGACGGGGCACTGAGGTGCAGACAGGCCGAGGGAGCCCCCAGAACCAGCACCGAGGTGTGGATGGGCCGAGGAAGCCCCCAGAACCGGTACTGAGGTGCAGACGGGCCAAGGGAGCCACCAGAACCAGCACTGAGGTGTGGACAGGCTGAGGGAGTCCCCAGAACGAAGGGCGAGGCCGGCTGTGAGAGCCCCCAGGGCTGACAACAGTGAAGTTCTTACAGGCTGAGGGAGCCCCCAGACCTGGCACCAAAATCCAGACAGGTCAAGCGAGCCCCCAGCACCCACAATGCCCCGCGGTTTCCTGGTGAAGAGAACCCATAAGGCAGGCCCAGCCTCCTACCGGATCCGAGTCCCCTCAGCTGAGCCTCTTGGTACCAACCCCTGGCCTCCAGGCTGCCCCACACCACTGCCCCCCACCCAGGGGAGCCCCCCTGGTGCAAGCCAGACTCCAACATCCTGCTCCCTGCCCCAGAATCCCCTGCTGCCGGCAGCCTCCCCCTCCTCCTCAAGGCGGGGAGCCATTGTGTGCCAGCTGTGCCGCCAGGCCTACGGCGACCCGCCCTCGCTGGCCCGGCATGGCTGCTCAGGCCTGGTCCGCGTGGAGTACCGCTGCCCTCAGTGCCCCAAGGCCTTCGGCTGCCCAGCCAATCTGGCCTCCCACCGGCGCTGGCACAAACCCCGCGGGCAGGGGGCAGCCAAGGAGAACCAGAGTCCTGAGCCGGGCACTGGGCCCAACTCCCAACGGGCTGACTTCGGCTGCGCCCACTGCTCCAGGCAGTTCCGGCGCCGCAGTGACCTGCACAGACACCTGCAGCTACACCAGGCCGGGCCAGGGCTGAGCCAGAGTCAGCATCTCCATGGCAACCGCCTCCCAATCCCCCTCTGCTTGCCAAAGGAGGGGGGTCTGGGCCTAGCTGTTAGCTCCCAGCCCTGTCCACTCGGGGCGGTTGTCTCCACCAGCCTTTCCCGGGGCAAGGGAGGTCTGATCAGCCCCCGCAGTGAAGCTCTGGGCTCCCCCCCAGCAGCTCTGTCGGTGTCCCTCAATCCCGACCCCCAGCTCTACCAATGCCCTCAATCCTGACCCACAGCCCCCTGCTATCCCAGTCCTGGGCTCTGTGCCTCCCCCCACAACCCCAGCTCGGTCAGGGCCCCTCAATCCCAACCCACAGCTCTCATTCCCCGCCCCGCTCTAGGAGTGCCCCTCAATCCTATTTATTGTGTAACAGAGATTTTATCATGAAGATCTGATAGCAACAAAGAACTGTTTTCAAAGAAGAAAACTGCTCAGGTCAGGCTGGCCCAGACCCCACCTTCCCTGAATCCTGAGCACTGGTGTCAGATGTGCACTGGACAGACTCACGGACTGGGCGGATCTGGAGCAGACAGACCCCCCTGTGGCTTTGCTCTTCTGAAAAACTGAGACATTTGCCTTGAAGATCCAGCACTGCGGGGAAGGTTTTTGATTTGCAACAACTGTCCTCCTCCTGCATGGATTCGTGGCCGCTCACAGGCAGAGGCCCACGCCAGCACCACCCAGGCCCAAGGCTCAGTGTGGCACAGGAGCAGAGCTACGCTGCCATGGTATGACTGGGCACTGCTTAGGAAGGCAGCTCTGTCTATGCCTAGGGGAGGGCATGTCTATTAACAGAAGAGTTTGGGGTGAGGTTATTGTGGGGGCGAGGCAGTGGGTGTGTCCACATGGGAGGAGTTTGTCTGAACTGTGTATCTGGGTGGGGGGGTGTTTTGTGTCACTTTGTGGGGTGGGGTTGTCTAGTGTCTGTGAGTATCTGTGGACACATATCACAATGCTGTTGTGGTTCTGATCTGATGGGCCCAATAATGGCATGTTTTTGTATGCAACCAGCCCCCCCTTCC